CCCGCTATTTTTTCTTGCCTCCTGCTTATTCCTCTAGATGATGTGCAAATAAAAGTTAGGGCCAGGCAGGCCAGTCCATGCCCAGCACCATAGCCTAGGGCAGTGATGGTGAACTTTTTTAGAATCACTGGGGTACTAAAGCCATAGATTCCCACCACTTGCCTGGGGCATCACCTAACAACAGTGCAGAGGGACCGAGTAACCCCAAAGGCCCCAGTCCCAGAAACTCTGGCCCTAGGATGGTCTGGCACATCTGAATGAGAATACTCCCCCAAAACCTCCTGGGAGAGGGGAGGCCAAGCAGTCTGCTGCTTCATCGGGGTTTGCATCTAAGAACAGGAAATTTTAATGGGGGGGGGGGGCTTCTTTAGTTTTACAAAGCCTCCTGAAAGTCCTCCAGAGAAAGGCAGATACCATCAGCTTTGCAAGCACCACTGAGTGCTTGAAAGATTAACAAAGACATTGTTTCTGCTGGCAGCAGGCCAGGGGTTTAATGCAGCCAGGGGCAGAAGACAGTGAGAAGCTAGGAAGTGACGAGAGGCTTGCATTCTGTGACAGCAGTTCCTGACCAGCAGGTGTCTTATTGCTCTGGGTCCAGCTGTCACTGGCCCCTGAGGGAGGGTCCCTTGCCCAAAAGCAGAGCTCTGAGCCCTGCTGGGAGTCATCTACCCAGTGCCTGGCACCTGGAAGGAGCCAATAAACACCGCCAAAGAAAACAAACAAAATCACTGTGACTTAGACAAGTGCCCACTCTTCTGTCTAACCCTGGCCTCCTCTGGCTTGCTTGGAGCCACTAGCCCCCAGACAAAGATCCGTCTGTGAAGTCCAGGAATTTCGAACAGGTCCCAGGAAAGGGGATCCTGCAATCAATGCTGGCAGGCAAGGCCTGGACGTCTGGGGGCCGGAGCTGGACCTTTTTCTTCAAAGGAGCAGAGACAGCTGGGCCTAGGCTGTGGGCTCCAGGCTCACAGCTGTCCCCAGAGCCCTGCTTTGCTGGGTCCTCATGAAAGCGGACATCTATCTGTGGACCACTTAAAGTTATCCCACGCTTACCCAGACTTTCCCCTAATGCTGTATTTGCTTTTCTTTATCTCCCACTTTCCAACTTGGGCAATAGGTGCCCCTTCCCCTCCCACTTCTCTTCTAAAAAAGTGATACAGTGGAAAAAGACAAAAGTCTAGACTCAACTCTCAGCGCTGTCGTTAATTAACAACACGACTCTTACTTCTCTGAATCTCATTTTCTTGTCTATGAACTGGAGTAACATGTTTGTAAGGGTTCCTTCCTCCAGTCTGTGCAAGAGTCTACCCTCCTGGAGGACGAAATCTAGGCCTAATTCCTTTCCTCTCTGACCTCTGTTTTGGGGCAAGACCCTGCACCTGAAAAAACCTCAGCAAATGCTAGCGATGGGTGATAGGAGGGTGGAGGGACTCAGGTAGATGGTGAGTAGGTGAATGGGTGAATGAGCGGATGGGTAGATGGAGGGATGCACCCAACTCCATGGTATGCTTGGCAGTGTGGCAGGGAAGGGGCAGAGGACAGCTGATACGATCATCTGTGGTCACCAGGGAGGCAGCTCCTTGTGATTCGAGCATGAATCACGCTCTGGCTTTGACCCTGCTGGGAGCACAGCCATGAAAGTTCTTTTGTCTCTTAATTCAGCCAGGTCCTTACCTAGAGAGTGTGGGGAGATGAGGCCAAGCCCCTCAGCCTCATCAGGATGGAGCGGAATGGGGTGGGTGTGGCACCCTCTGGCCCAGGCAGGCATCCCTGAGTGGCACATCATAGACTCTTGTGGGATCCAAACCACCGTATCTCCCGGACTTGAACTCTCTGTGTCCAAGTGCACTGGTGCTGCTCCTGAGGCTGCAGTGTTACCATCCTCCCAGTGACACCAAGGCCAGGAAACAGGGGCCCTGCCCCATTCCAACTGCATCTCCTCTCTTCCAGAATCTTGGTCAACATGGACAACAACATCATCCAGCATTACAGCAATCACGTTGCCTTCCTGCTGGACATGGGGGAGCTGGACGGCAAGATTCAGATCATCCTGAAGGAGCTGTGAGTCCTGTACTCCAAGCTGCAGACCCCAGGCGTGGCTCAGGCCCAGAGCCCGCCGGGAAGTGGCCCTGTGCCACACACAAACTGTCCATGTGCCTCAATGCAGTTACTTGAATGCCTTCCTCCAGGGGAGTCACAGATGTCAGGGCCAGGAAGGGGTCTTAGAGGCCTCCTGGTCTGAGCCCCATCCATGCTTGAATCAAGTCCTGGAGTTTCTGGCCAGCGCCGGCCCCGGGAACAGAGTGCCTTTTGAGTGAGCCTCACACTGCCCTGCAGGCCACCTTCACGGACGTGGTGAAGCCACCCTCAGTCCCACATAGCCACCGCTCTGGATTCCTCCATCCTTCAGGCCAAGGATTTCTCACCTTTCGGTCAGTGAACTCCGGGTTCTCAGTGCAAAGGACTTTTGAAAAAACACATCGTGGAAACAGTATCTTGCTCATTGACTTCTTGGATACAAGATGTAAATAATAGTGCTGACCAGAACGAAGTGACCTCTCTGTAAAACTACCACCTTGCCAGTTGCTGTTGTACACATTTCTTATTTACAATTTCCAATTTATAATTCTTATTTACAGTTTTATGTTATATATATAAGTATATATTGTATATATATGCAACATTTTATATTTTTCATGGATACATTTTTATCATTTCAAAAAAATCTGTATTTCACATTTCTTGGACTGTTTTTTAGCTGTTAATCAGTTATGCATTTTGTATACTTGTAGTATTGAGTAATAAAAGCGTACCTGTGTATCAGTCACACGTTCCTTTTGTGAGTTTCCAGCAGAAGAGCAGCCGGGATGGTGGATGTAAAGGATGAGGGACTTGTGAGCTCTTGAAGCCAAGGTGTCCACCCTGGGAGGTAGCAGCGTCAGGATGTGGTCCCATGAGGCCAACTGTGACTCCCTTTGCATCACTGACTCTGAAATACAGGCCCAGAATGACCAGGGCAAGGACCTCACAGCTGCGGCCAGCGCGAGAGCCCAGGGCTGGGCCACGAGAGCTGAGTCTTGGGCATCTCAGCTCCTCCTCTCCAGGCTGCCTCTTTCCCTGGAGGCGGCTCCTCTTGGCTCTGAGAAGCCACTTTGCATCCCTTTCCCACTGTGGTCAGTGGCTTCGTGTTGAGACATTGAAATCAGCCAGGGCGGAAGTGTTTATACCGTGGATAGTGACCAGTACTATAAATCAAGCCCTTTATTTCCCCTCAGTAACTCACAGATCACTGGTTGCTTGCTTCCTTGGTTTTTACTGCTACATCTTGTCCTGTTTCTTTGGCTGGTGTGTTCTGCGTGGGTTAAAGCTGTCATCCAGCCTAGGCCTCAGTTTCCCTGATGAGCCTCAAAGGCCCATGATGCGAGGGAGGGGATAGCATCCCTGAGTGCCTCCTTGACTTCAATCCCAGTAGTTTTACTTTGGAAATAATAGGGTTTCTTATAAATGTTTGCTGGCATAAAACTTCTTTTAAAAAGTTTAGAAACCAATATGCCTATGAAAACCTCCCAGTCCACCATCCATGGGTCCTGCCTAGCCTTGGACCCCACAATTTCGGTGTGCTTTAAAGGGGCCACTGAGGAAGTCAAATAATAGCTCAATGTAATCTTTTTAAAATTAAGGCAAAAGCTGGATATGGTGATTTACACCTGTAACCCCATCGTTCTGGGAGATTGATGCAGAAGGATGGCAAGTTTAAACCCAACCGGGGCAACTTAGTGACTTAGCAAGACTCTTGTCTCAAAAAAGAGCTGGAGATGCAGCTCAGTGTAAAGGTCCGGGGTTCAGTCTCCAGTACATTTCTTTAAAAATGAATGTAAAAATCCATGATGAGCAAAGTCTCAAATTTTTTCACATGCGGTCAGTGTCACTGACCTTCCTTTTGCCTCGGTCTCTGAAATGCCCACAGGGCTCTTATGGGGGGTCCTGTGGAGCACGAAGGGTTGCTTTGCCCAGCCCAAGCCTCACTGCTGCTGTGACATCACCCAAATGTCCCAGTGCACTGACCTGGGAAGCTCGAGTGACAGCAGTGCAGGGTCAGTCCCTGGAGTTAAGGCTCATTTCCTGCTGTGCTTCCTGCCCAGCTTCCTGCAGGAGCCAGGTACCATGCAGGAAACTGGAAGCTGGTGTTTCCCAACTCAGACTGCATATCAGAATCACCTGGGCATCTTTCTCCTCTCCCCGCACCCTACTTCCCAGGCCCCACCCTGGAGCCACGCGGCATCATTTCCAAGTGGGGACCCAGGCAGCAGAACCTTGTGAAGTTCTCGGGGTGATTACAATCTGCAGTCAAGGGGGAGAGCTGCTGCTGCTGCAGAGTTTATAGTCACACAGGCCTTGAACATTTGCAGCCTCCTGGCGTCTGCCCAGATGCTGCCCTATGGCATCATTAGCGTTTGCACACAGTGTGCTGCAGAGCTCTGGGAGGGAGCTGGCAGCACCCCCTGCCCCTTTGCATCTGTGCAGCCCCTGGCAAAGCTACCAGGAAAGAGAGATGAGGGCAGCTGAGCCTAGAAAGGCCAACTTGCACCGCAAGGAGACTCCCACAAACCTTGAGGAAGTTCTGTCCTGACCTTGCGAAAGTCGGGGAGGAAAGGGAGCTCCTGAGCCCCACAGCTGCCATCGCAAGGTTATCTCCGCTGCAGAGGGTGAGACAGTGAAAGAAGTAGACGAAAGATGATCACTGTAGAAAGGCAGCTGGCGGCTGGTGGGGAGAGCATCACCTGCCTCCCGGCGACTGTCACCCAATGGATTAGAGCGCATGAGACAGAGCACAGAAGGGGATGCATGAGGAAGGACAGAGAGAGAGAGAGAGTGGCTGAGTAAGGGAACAAGAGGATGGAAGGGAGAGGGGGAGAGAAGGAAAGAGGGAGGAGAGACGAGGAAAAGGAGGTCAAATAAATACTCAGGCAGGTGAACAAATGGAAGGCCGGATGAGGAGCTGAACAATTAAGTGTTTTTATTTATAATTTGTGTATGTGTCGTACTGGGCATTGAACCCAGGGCATTCACACTGAGCTACATCCCCAGCCCTTTTTGAGAGTTTTCTTTAAGTCACCCAAGCTGGGCTTGAATTCATGATCCTCCTGCTTCAGCCTCCCAGAGACCTGAGATTACAGGATATGCCACCATAGCCAGCTAATTAAGCATCTGCTCAACTCTCGCTATTTTTAGTGTGGCCCGTGGACTAAGCAGCATCAGCACCACCTGAGCTTGTTAGAAATGCAGAGTCTCAGGCCCCACTCCCGGCTCCCACGTTTTAATAAAATCTCCAAGGAATCAGCACGCACATTAAAATCCAGGAACTACTTTATAAAGGTACCTGTGTATCCTAAGCACAGCTAGATATGTTACAATCACACCAGGAACTTTTAAAAGATACCAAAGGTCAGTGAAATCAGAATTTTGAGGCTGGGGCCTAGGTGTGCTCCTGCGCTGAGTCTAATAGACAGCTAGGGGTAAGGGGTCCTGGTTAACCCCAGCTCTAGACAGTTTAACAGAGAATGGAGCAATCAAAAGACTCTCTGAGTTCAGTTCTGGGCCTGGCCATGTGGGGTGTGGGCATGGATTCCTATCAGCTGAGAGCTGTTTGCTCTTCTCTCCCCAGCCCTCTCTCTCTTGACTCAGAGGGATTTGGGGAGACACAGAGGTCACTAGGGGGAGTCCTCTGAGGGGCCAGAAGATTTCACACTGTGAAGAATTCCCCACTCTGACAGTGGCAGACCCAGGAGCCATTGGTTGGGTTGCTGTGGACACGGTTAGACAGCAGTAGCTTTAGCTCCTAAAGCCCCAGCGCCCACCCCAGCTGCTTCACTCAGCTACCACGGGAGCAGCCCCGGGAGCTTTAAACCTTGTGCACCTTCCTGCCAATGCGTCCCTTCCAGGAGAAGCCGAGGGCCTGTGCGGGCGCACGCGCAAAGTAGCCTTTCAATCCAGAGCTCCTGCGCTCAGCAAGGCGCTCCAGGCTGCCTCTCCTTCACTCCAAGGCCATGGGGCCTTTCTGAGAACCTGTTTACAAAAACACCAGCTCCTGTGGGAAGCAGGAATTCAGTTTAATTGACTATGATATTTATCCTTCTCCTTCTTCAGCCTTGCTCAAAGGGAAAGCCAACCAGCAGGCAGTTCTGACAGGAAGGCTCAGGATGCACAACTCACAAAGTAAAGGGGGGCACCATGAGAAGTGAGTCTGTCGTGGGGGACCAGGCATGGGGGAGCAAGGTGGGAGGGGTGCAGGGAGGATGCACGGAGACTCCCGCTTGGGGCATTGCTGGACAACATCAAGATTTGGGGAAGGAGGAAATGTGCAGTTAGGTCTCTTCCATCTCGGTTCTTCAGCCTTCCTCTTGCAGAGGGAAAAAGATTTGCAAGTCAGAAGAGATCCATTAAAGACGGTCAAACGTAGTCAACAAGTCTTTCTTGGACATTGATGTAGAAGGTCAGCGAGAGGGGTGAATGGAGAGGCTCGAGCAGGGAAGGTGGGGGAGGCAGCCCACAGCATGGGCACAGGGTGGCCTTCCTGTCCCTTGAGCTACTGCTTCTGGAGCTTGCGTTCCACAGGGCGCTGTCACTTCCGCTGTCGGAGATGTGACTGCTATGAACTTTGGGGCAGCCTCCCCAGTGCTGGGTAAAGAGTGAAGGTGATCAGCTGCCCTGTTCTTCCAGAAAGTGCCATGTGGCTGTCTAGGGGGCCTGGTAACATCTTGGAGTGTCTACCACAGGTGCCATGGGCCCTGCCAGGCTCCTGGAAGTCAGGAGGAGTCTGGAAGCCAAGGGCAGATGATTGGGCCCACACCTGGGCACGCTGAGATCCCAGAGACCTGGCTGGGCACCAGGCTTCCGGGCAGGGACTCTGCCACCAGCTGTCTTCCACGTGGAATCCGCGCTTTAGGAACCCCTGAAGTCTATGGAAGAGTCACGCCAGAGCCACCTGCACGGATCCAAGGGGCAAGTGATCATGGCCTCCATCCACTCCTCCTTGCTGCTCAGGAAAATGCCGGAGTAGGTGGGGCGAGTTAGTCTCCAAGGCCAGCCCAGCAGCCATGCCGCAGCACTAGGAAGGGTGACTTGGTCAGCAGCCACACATGTTCTCCAAGTGAATGTCCTGGGGAGCTGGGGATCAGGGGCCGAGGCTCTTCCTGAGCTCATGTGGCGTCACTACATCACCGGGACCCATTTCTTGTCCTCATTGTAGAGGAAGGACTGCTTCCCTAGGGGCTCAGGCTTGTACGTGGCTGAGGAGAGAGAGACAGTACGTGAGGAGAGAAAGGCCAGGGTGTGAGGCTCCGGCATCCTACCTCAGAGCTGGTAAGGCCCGGGAACTCTGCTTCAGCCCCTGCATCTCATAAGGAAGGAGAGAGCAGGAGAGAGAAGAGAGGAGGAAAAAGAGGGGAGGGAGGAAGAAAGGGAGAGAGAGACAGAGACAGAGAGACAGACAGAGAGGGAGAGACAGGGAGAGTCAGACAGACAGAGAAAGAGGGAGAGAAAGGAACTGGTCTCACACTGCATGGCTCTTAACTGACCTCAGCCAAAATGACATTATGGCTTTCAGCATTCTTTAACTCTCTTTAACAGAGCAAAATTTGCAAAACATATTTTGTACAAAAAATCAAAAACTGGGCTAGGGGTTTAGCTCAGGCATAAATGCCTTCCTGGCAAGCATGAGGTCATGAGTTCAGTCCCCATTACCAAACAAACAAACAAAATTGAGAACCACACAGAACAAAGTGATATTCTTGTTGAAGCACAGGGTTAGCATGGTGGGGTTTTGATCTGGTCAGGAAATTTCTAGAAAGGCAAAAGCCATCACACAGCTTCCTAGGGATGAGCAGCCTGGACCACAGTCCAAAGTGACAGGAAAGTCTTCTATCAAGCTGACATGTCTAGTGAGGGTCCCTTGGATGTCTTCTTAGGGAGACCCTCAGGGGGACCTATGGCTGCCTGGTCTGTCTGCATCCCCTGGAAGCCATGAGGGGTGTCAGGAAGCCGCTCAGGGAGGCTCTCGTAGATGGAGGTGAGCGCAGCAGCTGCAAGCCACCTGTACCCGTGTGCCAGGCACCTTGACTCAGAGGAAGCTCCTAGAGCAGAAACCATGGCCCGCATGCTGTAGCGGGCACACAGACCTCTGTCTGTCACCCCAGCAGCCAAGACACCCCAGTAGCCAAGCACTGGCTATTCAGGTTTAATTGCAGTGCTGATACTCTGCAATAAAGAAATAGGGTTTGGGTGCAGTTTGGGCACTCGGGCTCTAAAGCTTCGCCATCACTGTCTTGGAGCATGGGCCAGCAGGGTCAAACAAGGACCCCCACCTGTGCCGAGACCTCTGGGAGCTCACTGCTTGTATGAAGATGGGCACATTTGCTGGACCAAAGCGTGTTCTCTTGGTCAACCAGACAACCCCAGGGTCAAACCTGGGCTGTCTTGTTGGTCTGATTATCACTGCACCCACAGAGCTGAGACCACCAGAACTATGATAATGGCTCTCTTCCCATCCCACCTCTATGACATTTTTATTAGCTGTGAGTATCTCCCCTACCAGACTGATGCCTCTGGGGAATGAGCACCCTGTCACCTTAGCTCCCAGGGTAGGAGCGTCCTTGGTGTGGAATGAAAGGGGCTCTGAGCTCTGCTTTTTCCCCCCACGCATCTGCCACACCTGTCAATCACCTGGCCATTGGCAGGGAATGGTACTAGCTAAGGGGAGCTACGGAGAAGTACACAAGCAGGGAAATACAGAGGCCACCTACGGGAGAGAGCCCCTGGCGACCTCAGCTCTCAGGGAGATCCCAGGTGTGACAAGTGTCACTGCTTAAGCTCATCAGTAGGACGGCAGTGGAGTTAGACGGCTTCACAGCGCAGCTCTGTTGGGTGGGCCCTGTCTTCTTCCATCATAAACAAGGTGCGGGGTGTAGGCCGTGTGCCTGGGCTCTCTGCCGTGCTGCCACGGCCCCTGGAGCTGTGGACCCTTTGCTCTCCAGATCTTCCTCTCTGTAAACTATGTTGGCCAGACTAGGACCAGCGCCTTTAATATTTTTAAGAACAAGAACTCTTCTGACGACCTGACCAAAGCCATGGCCCTATAGTATGATGGCTGAATGCTCCAAATCTGTAGAGAGTCCCGAGTCACCGGCTGCCACAGCCCATCTGTGACCTGGTGCACCTTCCAGGTCCTCAGTATCAATCCCTGACCCTGATCATCTCTAAGAGCCCTTTCACCTTAAAAAAACAAAATATTTTTATACTCTGAAAAGGTGAGCCGATAACTCTCCTAAGTCTGCCCTCACCCCTGTAAACTGTTTGGCAAACAGCCTATAAACCAGTGGTGTTTGATGGCACAGGAATGACAAACAAGCCCAGATTAGGTTTTTACAGTCACTTAAAGCAGTCAGCTGACCTGGGCCAGGGAGGCCTGGCTGGGAAGGCTCCATTATCCTCCTGCTGGTGTTGGACACAAAGGATGCACTAGAGATGAAATGCTTGGTGGGTCCAGCATAGTTCACAATGTCATACTGACCAGGGCCCGGAAGAGGCGGCTTTGGGGGCAGAGGCAAAGGCTGGGCTGAGAAGTTCAGGACAGGGTTCTTCCTTTGGAGAAGACAAAATGGGAAGATGTCACTAAAGCAGTCTAGTGGGGCACTGCCACCTTTAAATGTGGCCAAGGCACACTCAGGATCAGGGGCCCAGACATGGCCTGGGAGACCCGATCAGAGTGCTCGCTCCTCTGCTTGTGAGCCCAGCGTACTGAAACTTGGTTTTCTCATCAGCACAGTGGTGATCATAGAAGTACCTACACCACAGGCTCCAGGTCAGGGTTACATGAGATGATTCACCTGAAATATGGTACTCAGGACAGGGCCGGCACACGGTTAGAGCTCAGGATATGATAGCTGCAGCATTGCTGCTGAGCTGATCAGGAGGAACAGGCAGCACTAATTTTATATGCTGACCCTGATCGATTAGTAGTACCTGGCTGGAGCTCTGTGAGATGAGAACTCACTTGTCTTGGTGATCCACTTGTGATGTCTGCTATGGCTAGGCCACATGTGACTTCTTAATCAAGCCTTGATTCACAGTTCTACTGGGCTGCCAAGAACTGCCCATCTCCAGGCTGTCAGCAGAGTCAAGTCACTTTGCCCACCATGTGGGCAAGGGCCACCTCCTCTCCTGTTAACCCCCATAACTTGTTCCAAGGTCTTCCATTAAAGGAGGACAGAGGTTATCAGAGCCAGGGAGAGAACAAGGGGTTCCTGGCCACTACCTTCTGAAACTGAGACAGACAGGGGACCTAGAGACATCTAGTCAACCGCCTTATTCTGTTAAAGTTGGGGTCCAGAAAGAAAAAAGAGACACATTCAGAGCATAGAGCAAGTTGGTGGGACACAAGGATGCACGTCTCCAAAGATTTGGAGAAAGCATCATGGCGGAGGGGAGTTTGAGTCACACAGACCAGAGTCTGAATTCCAGTCACGCCACTGCCCGGCTGTGAGACTTGGGACAAGTCCTCCGAGTTCTCACACTCTGTGTCTGTGACAAAGAGCAAGAAGGCCCAGTCTTCACAGAGGTGAAGTGATAGGTCACCTCTCACGGCACCGCCACACAGAAAACGCTCAGTAGAGGTAGCAGTCGTTACCGCAAACATGTCATGCTTTGCCACAGAGAAGAACCAAGCTTAGGAAAGAGCTAGGGCCCCCTCACACTAGAATCACTCAGAGGCAGGGGACCCTTCTCCCACAGAAAGCCACCATAAATCTGCCTAAATCCTATGCTTCATGGTGGAGGAACTGCTGGCTTAGAACAAAGGTGCCCACAGGAAAAGGGGACCCATGGCTTCTCCCACCACCATGGAAGACCACGTTACGGGGTGTAATCAACTACTTCTCCCCTTATAAACAAATGCCAGTTTCTCCCTCTTCTGGCTATGGTTCCCCCTTCAAAGCACCCCCAGAAAATTGATGAGTGGGTGACATCAAGAGACAAGCTTGATTCCTGGAAATCAGTGCTAGATTGAGCCAACCATGAGGTCACCTGTTGGTTTGAGTCACCTCACATTCTTTGAGAAGACTATGAGATGGCCACCTGCACGCATATGGCCTATTGGTCCTGTATCCCTCCAGCACTGGCCAGAACAGGCCGAGGAGTCCATTTGTTGTTCTACCAGGACCCCACGTGGTAGTGCTGGAAGCCTTAACTGTCCCATGCAGCTCCCCGCCAGGCATGGGGGTGTCCAGACTGCTCAACGCTAAGGCCCAGATCTGAATATCCCCAAGCCCCTCAATTCCAATTCTAGTGGCAGTCATGGCTGGTGACAGCAAGGCATACAGTGGTGCACTCAGAGCTGGACCTCCGTGTCCCTGTTCACCAGCTACGTGTCCTTAGGAAAGCCCCTTGGCCTCTCACCCTTCCTCCATCTCTTTGTGAAACAGTGGATGGGAACCCCCGCCACCCAGGATTGTTAAGCAGATTAACTAACTAAACTGGGTTACTTTTATTTGTGAGCGCTGTTAAAATAGTTTAAAACTGTGCATTGAGAGTGTAAATTAAGAAAGAAACTAGCTGGTCCTGGTGGTGCATGCCTAGAGTCCCGGAAGGCTGAGGCAGAGTTTGAGGCCAGCCTGTGCTACACAGTGCCTTCAAGGCCAGCATGAACACAGTGAGACCCAGGCTCAAGGAAACCAACACAAAATGAAAGGAGAGTTAAGGGACTAATTCTTCCGGGGTGAGTCCAGAAATGCACACAGGGAGGTAACATTTGCCCTTGAGCAGAAGGGTGGGGAGACACATTCAGCTGCCACAGAGCTGGGGAGCGGAGCAGCCCATCAAGAAGATTCGGGCAGGCTGGTCCCTTCAGCCGCCTTCTGCCCTCCAGTCATCTGGGATTTCTGTCTGTTCTCTTCTTCCCAACAACTTTTTACAAACCTGGTGAGAAGATACGGGAAAGCCATCTTCAGGCCGCTCCACCCAACCTACTGTCCTGTCCCCCTGCTCCCATTTCCCCTTCCTGGTCACCCAGCACCACACTGCTCTGCCACTCTGTGCCTTTGCCCGCACTACTCCTTCTGCCAGGGACACTCACCTTCCCTGCAAGCTCTGATTCATCCTTCCCATTCCCAGACTTTGGGGAGCCTCCTCTGATCCCTCTCCCCTGGCCTCCGGAGAGTCCATCTTCGAGGCCCAACAGTGCAGCATGGGGTCTGGAGACCCCTGATGCTGGTCCCAGCTCTGCCACTGCACTTCAGGGGAGCCCCTCTGGCCCGCTGCTCTCTAGAGGAGGGGTAGAGGATGACACGAGGTGCCCTGCGGGTTAAGTCCTCAGCTCAGCGGGTCCGCCTTCCCAGACACTCGGGGGTTTCTTCCCTCCATTTATAACACCTGCATTTTCGTGCTGTCTGCTTGCCTCACTTTTCAGGGAAGAGACTGTGTCTGACTCACTTTGAGGCACTGGTGCTATTCTGGGGACATTCGCGGAACCGCAGAGCAAAGCAGAGAAGCTTAAGCAAGGACCTGAGCTTATACCAAAGAGATATGGAAAATCAATCAGCTCAGGCAGATTGCTCCCAGGGCAGCCCTGGTGCCTGTGAGTGGGGCTTTTATGAGCCTCATCACTTAGTCCTGACAGCCAGCCTGCTCCAGCCCTGTGGAAAGCCAGCTCCCATCAAAGACCCTGCATTGGCCGAATTAACTGAATTAACTGTGTTGGCAGCTTCCAAGGTAAGCTGTTTGCAAATGGCCAAAATAATGAATGTCCTCAAGGACTCAGCAGGTCACCTGGGGAAGGCATCCCTCTCAGGGCACTCCCAGGCACAGGCTCATTCTGCCTCAGGGATTCTCAGGGTTGGGAGGGAGAGAGGGGCCATTTTTCTCAACATGAAAGGGCAGCCAATTGCCTCTGGGTGGAATGCAGTGCCTGTTTAACGGGGGAGTGGGTGACAGATTACAGCTGCTTGGGAAGAAGCATCCCATATCTAATTGAAAATCCCAGGGGAACTTTAGGTGGGTCCGGTGTAATTACCCAACTTGGAGCAGGGCCAAGGAGCCTGGTTCTCCAGCTCTGGCTGTGACAGAACCGTGTCTGTGCAAAACCAGCAGCTTAAGAGCTCCAGGAAGTTGACCAAAGGGTTAGAAACCTGTCTCCAGGGCTTCCATCTCCTCTTGGTGAGTGGAGGTCAGAATATGGCAGAGGAAAGAGTATGGTGACCTCCCAAGCCTTTGTCTGAGTCCCCCTCCCTCACTGAGTCACCTCTGTGATGGGTTCCAAGACCTTAAGAAGTGAAACCTTGATGGGCACGTACTTGGCTCCCCAAGACAGCTTCGGAGCTGATGGAGCCTCCCAGCTTTGAGTCAGCAAGGCGGTCACAGGACGTGATCACCTGTTGCTGACACACCGTGAGCGTGGTGTGGAGACACCTGAGAGGATCGGCTTTCAGGCTCAGGTAGAGCCATGGGAGTTCATTGGCAAATCTCCTTCCACCCTGGCAACCACCGTTCTCAGGGCACGAGGTGTCAGATGAATGTGAATCCCTGGGAACTAAGTGACCCTCCCCCTATTAGGTTCACTAAGGTTGGGCAGTGGAGAAAGCGGGAAATGCCACATGTCCTGACACAGGGCCTACTGACCCCTACCTACACAGCCCACACAGCCTCCCTGGCCCATTCCCAGCCCCGCTGGTCACCTCCTGAGCACCTGAGTCACATCACCCACCCTCTCACTTCTCTGTGTCAGTAACATGGGGCCCACAATGTCAGGGAGACAGCATCGCCAACATCCCGGTTCTCCTGAAGAAAGCAGAGTTGGAAGACTGTCTTGCAAGCTGTCCCTCTACCCAAGGACAGAAGGCAAGCAATTCCAACCCAGGACAATCAAGGCAGTTCTAGTATCGTGTCACACACACACATGAAGCCTGGTGGCTCAAGCTGCACAGGTTTCCAAGGGGTGAGCACAATAATGCTCTGAGATTCCTCATCACAGCTCCAAGTGGCCCTGGCGGTCGCAGGTGACCAGGTGTGATGTGCACAGAGTCTAGACAAGAGTAACAGGCAGATGCAGAGGAGGTGATGCAGACACTGCCAGGGACCCAGCCACCCTAGATCATGGCCTCAGGAGACTTCTGTCCCTTGCTGCCCCTCAGGGCCACAGAAGGAAAAGAGAACTTGGACAGACTGGTAGTGGGGATGGCCCTTCAATGTCCCATTATCCAGCTCTGTCTAGTCTTCTGTTCCCCACATCCTACATTATTTAACATGCGAGAGGGAGATTTTCTGAGAATAATCCAAAGTCTCTGTGTATCTTCTTGCTTTTTAAACACAACAACAGATTTCCCAGCATCGCCCTTCCTGAGTCAATTCAAAAATGCACATCTTGAACCTCCCCTCTGCTCCATGGAATGACTTGGTAAGAAAACTTCAGGTCCTGAAGTATCAGAAAAATGCAGAGAAGTGGAAGTCCAGAGAACAGCCAGGGACCACACAGATCTTGCTGAAACCTTGAGGCACCCTCCACTCATCAAGAGGAGCCCAAGTGAGGAGCCTCTGGGTTTAAGAGGTTTATTTACTGCAGACCAGCTCAGAACCTTTAAATGCCTGATGCTCCTGGAGACAGGGCGATATTGTGCGCACCAAGGAGCTTTCATTCCTGAATCATAGAGAGAGCAGGTGAGCACTGGCTGCCCCAGATGCTCCCTGTGGGGATGCAAGTGGCCACACAAGCTGGGAGGTGGAGTGGGGGCAGCTTTCACGTTGAGATTCCCTGCTCCCGGCGAACCTGGATGAAAGTGTGTGGTCTCATTTACCTGAGCACCTCCGCAGCCTCCAGTGCAAGACCAGGGTGCTACAGGGCCTGCTGACCGACAGGTACAATACCATAAAATAAGAACGATCTGAAACCACTCCTCCAACAAATACCATACATGAGAACAATTTTAAACCGCTCATCCAAACTTGAGCAAAAGCAGAAAGACTCTTGCCTGGGTCAAAAGATGAAAACTGAGTGTCCAGCATGGGGGAGACAACTCAGTGGTCAAGCGCTGGCCTTGCATGTGCGAAGCCCTGAGTTCCATCTCAACACCACAAACAAAACAACAGCAAGGACCACAAACTATTCTCTACCTTCTGTTCTTACCTCACCACTGTCCTTGAGGCCACTTCCAGAGTTGGGCGGAGAACTTGAGCTGCCCTCCCAAAGAGCAGATGCACCCCAAGTCCTACTGTGTCTGCAGGAAGTAAGGTGCCAGCTATTGTAAGAGTAGCCACCAGCTATCTGAGGGCTGGTGGCCCTTTGCTGAGTGTGAACAGCAGGTGATGCACGCATGCGTGGAGACAGCACAGGTGCACAGCTTTGATGTGTTAACTGGCTAAAAGAGCACCTCTGTCTTTCCCGTCTAATCCTTAGGGAAACCCACGCAGGTGAGAGTCTCATCCCCACTGTACCTGAGGCCCCAAGAGATGGAGGGGCAAGAGCTGGGATTCACACTCAGATCTGTGACCCACCAGGCCTGGCCTTGCAACCACTCTGGGTCGCTAGAGACAAAGGAGAGAAAAGGCTGTGGCCAGAGCCAGCCTGGGGGCAGGAAGTCACTGCCTTAGAGAGAGCTCCTCCTGAGCACTGGCCCTGGGACTTGGGAAGTCAGCCTCCAGACCCAAAGCCCACAGACCAGAAAGGACTTCCCTAGCAGCCTCTGACTGGGATCTGACTTCCTCCTCCAGATCCTGTGTGACTTGGTGAACCTGTCACTTGCTCTTCTGACCCCTGTCCCCTTTCCCCGGACAGCCTGGACTTCCACCCACGGTGACTATGGCCCCAGACAACTGCCTGGCATCCTTGGAGGAGCCCTGCTAGCTATACACTTGGTCTCAACCCTGCCCCTCCAAGGGCCAGGCCTGCCTCAGGGCTCCACAACTTGGATGGTGGTACCACTGACCTCAACAGCAATCAGCTCTAAAAACTCCATAACCATCTGAGGACTAAACAAGTCCTGTGTGTTTTTAAGCACCTAAGATAAAAGTGACATTAAATTTGTAGGAAATTAAAATGGAAACATGGATATCTGTTTCTAAATTTTAAATTCCAACTCCAAAATCCGGGCTATAAAGCTCCATCAGTATAAGCTACACTGCTTCCATATGTCTCACTACTGCCATGGAGATTTCACCTGGAGAGTACACACGGGGCATGTGGGAATTTCAGACAGGTCTGAGTCCTACTGCCTGTGGCCCCTTGCATTAGTTGTGTGTATTTAGGCAAATCTCAATTGCACTGAAGTCCACCTTCTTCTATGAAGTAAAAATAATTATCATTGAGTGATTATCCTTGCAATAGGACTATCATAACTGATTGAACTTTTTAAGGTCCTGAAACATAGAAATTATGCAATTAATATTATGCATTCCACAAGTATTAACTGGCACTTATGCATCAGCTAGGGCTGTGGCGCAGCCCTGACCCCTTCCCCTCTGCCCATGTTAGGTTTCTCTCCTAGAACAACCCTGCAAAACAGGAGGAGAGGGAGATGCAGAAGAAGAATCAGGACTTACGGGATAACAGACTTCTTTGAAATCTTGGTGTGATCATTTGGGTTGTAATAACCGGGCCCTGGGCCTGTTGACGTCAGTTTGAATCCACGGTCAGTTTTGGATTTAAAACAAGACATTAATATCTTTGGTGACTGCTTCACAAATGATTCATTGACATCATAATGCCCTAAACAGAAAAAAAAAAAAGTAAGGCACAATAAGAAACTCTTCTCAAGAAATAAAAAGGAGGCTTGGGATTTAGCTCAGTGACATAAGTGCCTGCCTGGCAAGTGTGAGGTCATGAGTTCAATCCCTGGTTCCAAAAGTAAAATAAAATAAAAATAAAAAGGAGAACCTTACCCTAAGCATCTGTACAGCAGGTATAAGGTGACAACCCTCCAGAATGGTCAAATGGAACAGCAGCCTGAGCCAGCTCCGAGCTGCTCAGAGACCACAAGTTGCATGTGTCACACACTGAGCTCACCTGGTCCTGGCCAGGTGGGCACAACCGATCCACTCTTGACACGAGGAGGGTGTGACTCAGAGATGCCAAATGAAGACACTCCACTCACCAGGGATGAATCTCTCAGTGTCCGTGAAGCCCACCCCCCTCCTCTACAGAGCCAGAATGATATAAGATCCCAGGCACAGGGGTCTCACAACAGTATTTTAATGGTTGCCTTACAGACATCACACAAGCAACAAATATTTGTCAGGCACCTCATATGTAGAGAAAGGTTCACCTGCCTCCAAGCTTCCACCACACCACCATGCTGTATCTGAAGAAACTGAACAAGAAGTCAGTGAGGCAGGGACTGGAGATTTAGCTCAGTGGCATAAGCACCTCCCTGGTAAGTGCTAGGTCATGATTTCCATCCCCAGTACCAAAAAAAAAAAAGTCAATGAGGGAAGGGCTGACCCCTGAAATTGTTGATAGCCTTGAAAATGGGTACAGGTGTTACAGATAAAAGGAACAACACCAGGTGCAGGCCTTTGAGATGTTCACACACTGGGAGCCAAACTTCCCATTCCTTGGAAATTAAGAATGGAAAGGTTCGAGGTCCTGGGATGCACACAGCAGCAGTAGCTATGGGATGAGACCCGGAAACAGCATGGAAGTCACCGTGCAGGGGCAGAGTGAGTGCCAGGGCCAATCAGATAGGATGTCAGCCCTGACCGTAGTAAGTGCAAAGGCCACGAGGCCACATGGATGCATTTTGAAAATATGTATGAGTGACAGAAAAATAAAGGCTAGATGTATTTCAAATTTTCAGAGCAGTGTAAGTTGCGTCTTCTTTGTTTTAGATAGAATTTACCTTTCCACTGCAAAAGTGCTGGAAATAATAGGGTCCGGATCAGCAAGATTTTATTGAAATGACCTTTGCCCATGAAGGCAAAGGGGAGAGAAACCAGATGCCCTGAGACACAGAGGATAAATTACCCTTGCACTGAAGGGCGATTTGATCACAAGCATCAAAATTCTCAAATATCTTACATACTTTTTGCCTTAGTCATTCCATTGTAAGTAATTTATATAAGGAAGGGTTTTGTTGTTATTGTTGTTTTGTTTAGTTTTTTTCCCTGTTTTGTTTTGTTTTTCAGGACTGGGGATCAAACTAGACCCTCTGCACCAAGCTTCATCCCCAGCCCTTTGTTATTATTTATTTTAAAACAGAGTCTCATCAATTTGCCTCAGTTACCTTCAAACTTGTGATTCACCTGCCTCAGCCTACGTGGGTAGAGCTGGGATTACAGGTGTGCACCACCCCGCTTGGGAACTATGTGTCACCTTTGCCTGTAAAATGGGATAAAGGAACAATGGCTTCCTGAGCACGTGTCCTGTGGAGTTTCAAAGCATTCATCGTGGAAACCTTATGTACAGCCTGGCACACAGGAGCTGCTTAGCTTAGCAGGTGCCAGGATGCTGCCTCCTCCTGCGCTGGGTTACAAAGAATTGATGATGATGCAGGCTCCTCTAAGAGGGAGCAGGCCCATGTGGCTGGCTATGGGATGCCCACAGTTCAGGGCTCACTGGCAGGGACTCCCGGCCAAGCCCTAGGGACGCCACCTTTGTTCCTCTGTGCAAACACACGAGGTGGGGCTTTGCCCTCAGATGATGCAAGGCGGGGAGCTTTCTCGGGCTGAGCCTCCTAATTAGCACTGGTTTGTTCTGCAGTTTCAGACTGATCCCAACTTTAATCTGGATTTGTTGAAATCTGACGGGCACTGCAGTTTTCTCCACAACCCCCTGTGAAGAAGCACAACTGCAGAAGCCAAGCCACTGTGTCCTTCCCTGGGCTCTGGGGCCTAAGGTTCCCAGCACGGGTCTTGAAGGACCCTTTGACTAATCTAGAAAAACAGAGGATGCAAGCACAGAAGCACACGGCCTTTCAGGTCAGCGAAGAGAGCTCTGCAGCCAGGCTTTTCCAAAGCCAGGGGTTTGGCAGCACAGGCCAGAGGGCTCCTGAGTCAGACAGCTCTGGGCTAGGCTCTGCCACTTACTAGCCAGACTGACACTGGACAAGTCATTTCAACCCTTGAGCCTCCCATTCTTCACCTGAAATTCAGGGCTAAGCACACGGAGCTGTGAGGATGGGCACCTGACAGTTGCATGGGGAGCACCTCCTTGCGGAGCAGGCCGGGGAAACAGAGCTGTTATACCCATGTGTTATAACCGGGTTACAAAGTCACAAAGCTCGGTAGCAAGTCTATGGCAAGCGTGCAGCAAAGATTAGGATGAAGTGTCACTCTGTCTCCCTGGCTGGGGGCTGCAGTGTCACCTGAAGCATGTGAATGGGCAGCCTTTTGAGGAGAGAGGCTATTTCCCACCTGACTGCCCACCCTGGTCACAAGTGGGGTGAGAAGGCTGCTGGGGACATTTCCAAGGCCAGCCATGCTTCCCCTGGGGGAGGCAGTCTCTCCCCATCTCTCTCACCCTCCTCTTCCTCCCAGCACCATCCACAGAGATGCCCTACAGAGAAATAGGTTCCTGGTCTCAAAGCCGGAGTGCTGGGTGCAGGTGAAGGCAGCAGAAGCAGCTGCTTACCTGGCGCAGGTCCCGTGTCAGTGGTGGCGAACACTCCTCTCTGAGTTTTGGACATAAACCCAGCACGGGCAGACACATTATTTTGCTGCTGGCAGCAGGAGATGGAGGCCTGGGGAAGGAAAAACACCTGATGCACTCCAGTCTCTGTTTCTCTCACCACCGTCCCAGCTCAAAGGATCTGTGATCCCCAGTAAGTCTGGGTTCGTAGGACAGTCCTTGTGTGACCCTGCTCAGGCTGTTTAACTTCTCTGAACCTGGATTTTCTCATCTGTAAAATGGATCAAATCATTAATTCCCTGCTCTGTTGGCTGCAGAGTATGGGGTGGAAGGCTGTGTGGGGGTCCACAGAAATCATCTACAGGGATGTGTTTTTTTCTAAGAGTGCAATGCTATACATACAAATGACTTTTCATCATTTATTCTACTGATTTTATTCTTTTCAGAGCACTTATCTGTCCCCACCCTGATCCCTAGCTGCATTCCTCGCTGTTCAAACAGTCCCTCTATAAACCATAGCGTTTGGGGCGCACAGGAGAATCCTACTGGTTTGAGGTGGTAAGGACTTCTTCGGCTCACCTTTTCTGGATTTACTAGAAATTAAGAATTTTGCCTCCTCCACACCGATATGAGGTTGAGAATGCCTAATGTGTTCTGAACTCTAAAACTAATAGAGGAAAACAAACTCCTGAGATCACTCGTCTGTTACACATGAATCACAAATATTTTAAATGCCAATTTGCAGCCAGGCTCCTATATTCATAGATAACAGATGCAATAAAAAGCATGCCTGTGCGCCCTCCCTGGGAATATTTACTGAACAAGTGAAACTGTGCACTGGAGCCAGGATGATCTGATTTTTCTGTGATACTCCCTTGTCAAAAAATCTTTTCTCTTGATAAATGCAGATGGCATTTTGATTTGGTGTTGACAAAGGTGAAGGAATTTTGCTTTTCCCAGGGTCCTAATGGCCAGGCTGCCTACAGAGAGGGCAAACAAAAAAGCCAGATGGGCAGGCTACTAATTACTGGCCACAAGAGAGGAGCCAGGTCGCCAGAGAGTAGGTAATAACATGGTATCAAGGGAAAGGACTGGAAGGGAAAAGTGGGGGGGATAGCGGTGGGCCAGGCAGAGGGAGGTCCCAAAGACCTCAAAGTAAGGCGTGGCTAATAAGATTATCAGATTTCTACTCCTGCCAGCTGACTCGCCATTGTTCTCCTGGGTGGAAAACTAAAAAAAAGCCTCCTGCAGACAAAACAGCACTGTGGCTTTATCCTCACCCAGATAGCAAAAGCCACTGAAAAGGGGGGCATTTATGTATACACTGTGACACGGGAATATTTTGCCTTCAGACTAGGGAAATATTCAGCAGGTTAGAAGAGAATGGAGCAGAGCTATTGGATTGCCAGGGAGAGAAGAAATCCAACATCTAGTTAAGCAGAAAATGCGCGTGGACCGGGGTGCAGCACGAGCCTGGTGCTGGTGCAAGGGGCCAGGGAGGGAGACGGAAAGAAACCCCTCCTGGCTGTTAGTGATGGGTCACCTTGCAGGGAGACTTACCAGGGTCTTTAACTCCCAGTCTGTGTGTTCCCATAGTGTTTGAGTGTGTTTTATGATGAGCATGTATTATAATTATACCAAGTCACGTTAAAATAGTAATGAACAATAAAAGTCAGATAATAGGAAGTGGAGAGATCATTTTTGAATGGGAAGGGGGTCAAGAGATGGAGGAAGGAAGGGAAAGGGTATGAAAAAAGGAATTAAGTGCTATGTACATGGACTAACTCTGCACAAGGAGCTACAAGTATGTACTAACAAATATAAAATATAAAAACAGAAAAAATAAAACCTAGATGGCAAACATTAACAATAATGAAAAAACCCATGCCCTTACCACCTGTCGACCTGTTGGCAGGAGGACCCGACTTTACCTTAGGAAACGGTCACCTCTAGATTAACATCTGGGTAGAGCCGAGTTTGTCCTTTGATGTCATAGACATTTGTCACATGCTTGCTGCATGTAGGGCCTATGCCTGACACGGGAGAGATGACACCACGGGAGAGGGACACACAGAGGTTGGGGGGCACAGCCAGGAGGACATGGGAGTACTTCCATGAGCATAGCCACACCATGTTTGTCTCCCAGGTGCCCTGGTCTTCTGGGAATGGCCACACACCTTCATTACGCTTCCATGGGCCAGGCTACGGTGTGTCCCTCTCCTGCTAGCCCACCAGTCTGCTCGCTTGCCTTCCAGCACCTGGACTGCAGTCATCCGCACATAGTAGCTGGAGAAGGTGTTTGAAACAGCACCTCACATCACACTCCCCCACCATGGGCTTCTCAGTGCAGAAGCTGGGGTCTTTAGCACGAGCTGACCTGGCACTGCCTGTCCACCTGGCCTCCTCTCCTCCCAGCTCACAGCAAATAGCCATTCCAGCTTCTTATAGTCATGACTAACTCTTTGCACAACTCTGGCCTTTCTTTCAATTCTTGGTCTCCGTACCGGAGCCTTCTCTGACCTCCGGGGCTGACGGGTGGTACCACCACTCTTCACCCCCTGCATATTCTCTCACAGCTTCCCCCCCCCCCCAAAAGCTGAGCACAGTTTGTAATTATCTTGTTTGTCTGTCTTTCCAGTTCTTGCCTACGTTCCTTACCAACCTGGCAAAGAATAGAAACAGAATTTATGAAGGAAAGCCTGGCAGGGGCAGAACAGCAGGACTAGTCAGGCGTGGTGGTGCATGCGTGTAATCCCAGCACTCAGGAGGCTGAGGCAGGAGGATCGCCATGAACACAATGCCAGCTCGAACTACATAGTGAGATCCTGTCTCAAAAAAAAAAAAAGAAAGAAAGAAAGAAAGAAAGAAAGAAAGAAAGAACAGCAACTGCAGGACTCGGGTTATCCTCCAGCTGTCTACTGGTGCCCACTGGTACTAAATGATCCATTTGAACTGGGTAACTTAGAGCAAGTCCCATCTCCTCTCTGAACCTCAGCTTCTGTAACTTAAGAATAAGATCCTCTATGCCATGGACTCTTGTATTAAACATGATGAATAATTAACTCTTAGCATTTAGTCCATGAAAAGTACATCACCATTGTCACCATGTTCACTCTGTTATCTTAAGGTACACTGGAGTGTACCAGCCAGTATTGTATCGTAATAGAATATTGCACTGGATATTGTGGTTGTCAAAATACACACGGGCCTTAAATACTTAGGGAAAAGAAAAGAATCTTTCTAAAAATATGTAATAATTTATACAATGATTATCTATCTGTAGAAATAACATTTTGAATCTTCTGGGGTAAATAAAATATATTGTGAAAATGTACTTGACCTATTCCTCTTTACTTTTTAAATATGGCTACTAGAAGATTTTAAACAACTCGGCTGGATTCCGTTACATTTCCACCGGACAGTGGTGGGGTGAAACTCTCTAACTGGCATGAGCAGCTATCACTGATGGACCAGTCATGGAAGACAGGCAGAATCTTTGTAGTTAGAAAAAATAACTATTATTTATAAGTATTACAAAAAAAGAGAGTGAAAAGGGAAGTAATTACAGGCTGAAATACGTTTAAAGACGCACAACAGTGTTACCACTTTCTGTGCAACTCCCCGTTAGAGCGGGCTCACGTTCTCCTCCCTGGCTTCACATATTAACCTCACAGGGCAGGCATGCGTAATCCTGTCTTGCCAGATTGGCTGCAGGGCAGTGGGGCTGCCCCAAGACTGCCCCGGCCTTCTCCATGTGCTGCCCAGTCCTCAGATGCCAGCGCCCAGCCTAGGTTATGTCATCTCATATTTGCATCAACACTATGAGGTCAACAGGTAACCATGTTTTACAGCCCAATAAACAAAGTCCTGAAAAGGCTAAGGGACTTGCCCACGGCCTTACAGTTAGATTTCGGGTTGAGATCTAACCTGAACCTTCCCATCCATACCTTACTGCCCAGGGGTTACATGGCCATCACAATTGGCAGAGTACACAGTGGTTAAAAGTTCAAAATCTCCTGACACGGAAAGGTAGAGCTGATTTTCCCAATAAGAACCTAAAACTCAAATGAACGATAAGCAGATAAAGTACAGAATAATGTACCATGATTACAAATGAGAAAATGTCCCTGAAAGAGTATATGACTACAACGATTAGATTAAGAGTAGCTTTAGGGCAGGGGTCTACCTACCCCTGGCTCCCAGGTCACCCACGCTTTTCTCTGGGTTCAGCAAAGTCCCCATCAGAGTCTCACAAAGCATTCATACCAGTAGGTAGACAACAAGTGCAGAATTTAAATACTGTTTTTCCCACGTTCCCCTTCCCTTTCATTTCGGGAAACCACTCGATGTGGAATTAGCAGGTAGACGCAGTGCTCTTACATTATAGTGGTTTGGGGCAGGGGTTTCTGATTTGAGCACTTTCACAAAGATTGGCAGCTGGAACATACTGGAACAGGAATTACTGAAGTCTTTCTTCGAAGCAAAATTGGAGGGGAGAGTGTACGCATTCGCCGCGGGATATTTAGAAATAGTGGCTTCCAGCCGGGCCCTCTGTGGAGACAGAAAAAGCCACAGATCAGTGTTGTCATGGACTCTTGTGTCTCTGAAGGACAGGCGTCAGAAAGATGGTGCCTAGCCCTAGATTTAAAAAGCATTTTCTGCAAATGACATGGTGGCTGGTGACAGTGATAAACTGACCTCAGGCTTTGAGCGTTTGCCCTTGGAAAATGCAAGTTTGGGCCTGTTTGACTGCTATAAACCAACTCGAATTATTCATCTTCTGTTTGGGACTTGGCAAAAATAATTTTGCCATAAACGCATTTCCACCCAATCCTGTTCCAGGCCGCCTACCCTTGATTCATCAGCTGTTGGGTAATTCGGGCATTGGGAAGCCTTAGACTCTCTTCTCCCAGCTGAGGCTTCTTTCTGCATGAAACTTCACATCCTGGCCTTAGGTTAAGTGGTCCGAACGGTCTAAACCCAGATGCTTCTCGAATAAGACTTGCCGTTTACCTGTGCCCCCGAGCCCCATCCAGCAAGACTGTTTTCATAAAACCCTACAATCTTTCTGCTGTTTCATTAAAACCAGTACCCTTCCTTTCAGGAAGCTACAACAAAATATTTTCTGTTAACAAACAAACAGAATCAGTGTTTGCCAGATGAACGGGGACAAAAGCCATAGAAACTCAGTGATAACATCGCTTTACCCTTGGAGAGCATGGCAAGCACCGGAGTCTGATAAAACAAAACATTTCCCATAATTTTATGGTTAAAAGCTTGAGAACATTACCCTGGGTTTTCTGGGCTGGATAGGCGTCGATAACTACACAAGCGGAGAATGCAGGGGAGGCAGGGCCCCCGCTGTGCCCTGTGCTGGCGGTGATGGTTCCCAGGTTCAGTTTGGGGACCACAGTGGTCTGGGGGTGGGTGAACTACCAGACACAGCAGTCTTCTCATTCAGAGCCTAACCAGGGTTCGGGTTCGAGCCCCAGCTCTGCCTCCTTCTAACCGTAATGATCTGTGGATGTTCTCAGAAGTAAGGCCACATATATTTACCTGCCTTTGAATTTTAACCAATTGTTTACTGTGTACTTTTGTTTTCTTTTTAACCTTCATAACAGCTCTGAGTGGTGGGTACTATATTGTGATTATTCCTACTTGGCAGATGAAGAAACCTGTTACTTAAATGGCAAGACTAATATTCTGAGCTGGGTAGTACGCGTCCTTATGGAATGGTCAGATACCCGATTCCCAAGTGGAATGGACTGAGAGCATGGCCCTGAGGGTATGGCAAATTTAGTTGATCGTGGCTCAAAAGACCTATTAATTTTACATTTTGGGAAAAAAATTCCCATTAGTGGCAAGTTTTGTAAGGTTTCACAAAAGGATTTGTTTCCAAGTATAGCTACATTAACACACACTCACCAGCACGCCACACTGCTGGGTTACACACCCAACCTTCTGTCCGCAGTGTGGCCATACACTGGTGTTTGTGACTGTCTCTCCAGCACACATGAACTTATCCACACCACTGCTGTCACCAAGCATAGAGAGAAAGGCCACCAAAGTCCCCACCCACCTGCCTCACTTAACTTCTTAGTCAGTATTGTATACAATTCTAGAACAAAGATTTGGAGTGCATTAATAAGGTGCTTTATAACATTTGAACTTAGAGAGGTGACAGGTTCTCTCAAAAGGCTGGGTGGAGTTGCTCCAACAGGCATCAGGAAGTTTCCAAAACGTATAGAGCCACAGAGTTGTTTGGTCAGCCTCACCCATCAGCACACTCCTCAGGGGCATGGTGATCTTTCTCTGATGAGGTCTATTTTAATTCCCTCCAAGTCTGGGGATCCAGAAGGAGGAAAGGCGCTATATGTGGAAGAGGAGAAGAAGATGGTCTCCTCCAGGTCACAGTGGAGCTGGGGGAAGATGTGTGGGGACTCTCCTAAAAGACCTCATCACTACACAAGATCCCTACCCAAGAATACAGAAACTTAAATGCTTAGCAACACAAACTCCTATGGCCACAAAGGGAGGGCAACGCAATGTCTGCCTTCTTCTAGGTCTGCTTCTGAATTTTTCAAAGACTTGAAAGGCCTGATTAGGTACCATAACACTTAGACTGTCCCTCAGTTCCCGGACAGCCCAGCCTTCTTATTTGAAAAGTAAATTTCAAGTAAACTCCAGCAGGGCATTGGTCATGGATTCCAATTCAGTCCCTTTCTTGGCACCGAGAAGGAGTGGCAGTGTCACTATTTGGTAAAGAAGTTCTCGGAGAGAAGACCTGGGCGTTGCAGGAAATCTTATTTGTGACTCAGGCGGTAACAATCATAATATTTAGCATGTGTATAAGAGTCTTTTGCTCACTGCAATCTGCCCAGAGCCTCGACTTTTATGAGGCAACTGGGACCCAGAAGGGTGACGTGCTTGAGGTCACATTGAGACTCTGAGGCTGAGTCAGGATTAGATCTTAAGGCTTGTTTTCTGTGCCAGGACATCTTTTGCTGATTGCTTTTGAGTCCTTTCCAGCAGGGTGGGGAGTGGAGGAGCAGAATAACAGAGGCCTGGATGCTCTGTGAACTCGTAGGGGGTGTGTGTGGCTTCGCTTTCTTTGGTAATGGGGAGTTAACTCCTAAGTTGGTTTCTCCATGAGTATTCAACTCTGCCAAACTCGACTTCCCTAAGAAGTGGATGCGTTCGGTGCGTCTTAAAAGGTTACTTTGCATGGTTAAAAAAAGATACATCAATTCCACTGTCAGGCCCCATAATCCAACTGTGCGAGAGATTATTATAACCTTTCAAAGGACGAGAAGGTACACGGGTTTGGTTAGTGTTAGAATATGGCTTTGTTTTCTTGTTTACTTTTCTGTCCCAGCTAGCCTTGCCCTTGTTTGGCTCATTCTACCTATTTTTCTTGCCAATTTAGAAATATTTTAAAGAAAAGGACAATCAAGTTGAGGCACAGCTCATACCTAGTACACATGACGCCCTGGGTTCTATCGCCATCGTGGCAAAAACAACAGGTCCAGTCAGGGTCACTGGGACAGTGTACTAGGCCCCACACTGTACTAGGAAGAGAAATGGGGAGAATGAATCAATAAATTTCAGCCATCAGATTTCTCAATAATTTAGTTAAATCAAGGAAGAGAAAAATTCCTATTAGGGCAACAGTAACATTTTCCTGACATACCTAAAATTCTCAGGAAGATATTGACTTCATCTACTCAATGATGGCAAAATTGGTTTGGATAATCGAGTTCTGGGTATTCCTCTAGCTCCTCTTCCCAGTACGTGACCGTGGAATTTATGTGCATGGGATTTCGGGAGGTGGTCACTCTCCTAATTAGAACCACGGGCCTTTGGCGAGAAAGGACTACAGTGTGTGATTATTCACTGATTGGAGGAAATGACTGACCAATTGCTTAAGAGAAAAGCTCTCACCATAGAAGGAAAAGTGCAGGTCCCTTTCCTGGACAGTGAGACACTGCTGAACACCGGAGACTGGTGGATGATGTTGTAGGACCCAGGGCCTGGGATATCATTCTGAAAGAGAAAAGGAGAGGAACGCTTTGCATTCATTAACACTAAGCCTCCCCATAATCCTACGAGACAGGCACCACCGCCACTTGGCGGGTGAGAACCCAGCTCCACCGTTCCCAGCTTACCCAGTCTCCACCTCAGTTACCCAGTGATGGGCAGAAATTCAGACCCAGGCTGGGGCCTCCCAGGCCCCCGCTTCTTCCCACTATGCTACGCTGCATTGCGAAAGAAAGCTGTTGTTTTTTCATGCCATTAGAGAAAGGAGCATAAAAAGGGATCCCAAACGTGACTGATGGGCAAGGCAGCGTGCAGGGATTGGGTAAACCAAACCCCCGTGAGGGGAGGGTGACCGATTTCACGTTAACCACACCTCACCTGAGTCAGCTTCCTCCGGCCTTTGAGAACAGACAGCAGGGAGTGTTTCTGTTTGTAAAGCAAAATGAAACAAAAACAACCTTCACCCCCAACAACACCGTTTCTAACTCTCTGACAAAAAGAGGCGAGCTCATGGTTGTCAAGCGCTGACTGGGGCCACTATGATGTGGAGGAAGCCGCAGCACTGAGTTCACTACTGTGTCGGCCGTCACAGCCCCTTTCCTGCGTGAGCTGCAGGGAGATGTCCGTGTCGGCAGAAGCTGGCCCCGCAAGCGGTGTGAAAGGGTGGCAGTGTGTTGCTGTGTGAGAGTTTGTGGGGGACCAGGAGCTCTTCCAAGCTTGTCATATTTACATCATCACTCAGTGAGGAAGGGATCATTGTGCCCATTTCACAGATAGTGACCCCAAGGCACATGGAGATGAATTTGCTTGAAATCCCACTGCCTTAAGAGGCAGGACCCGCGTTCAATGCGAGTGCATGGTGTGTGCTGTCTCCACTCCCCGGCATGTGTGTATTATTAGAGCCATATGAAGGGAAGTGAGGCCCAGAGACACGGAGCTCACAGCCAGGAAGTGATGAATCCCAGATTCGAAACCAGGCAGCGTGACTCCACAGCTTGCTAGGGCCAGTCTCTGCCACCCAGTAACCTCCCAACTCCCCTGTTCCTACTGCTTTCCCTGAGCTTCCTCTCAGGACTTTCCAGGCTGGCTGGGACAGTGTGATCAAGCACAGGGCCATGAGCAGGTTCCTCTGTGTTGCACCCTGGCAGGTGGGAACATGAGAGCTAATTTCAGCTTCATAGGCCACCCAGGCGGACAGAGGGGAGCTGGCAGCCGGGGACAGGCAGGCAGGCAGGGAGGACCAGAGCAGAATGAGGTACACAGACAGCTCAGGCCTGGAGCTCTGAACCCTGGTGTGTGGGCGCAGATGTGATTGGTGACTGAGAAATGGAGAGATTTTCCTAGGGCCCAGTTTGCAGGACAGGCATTGGCTTACAGAGTGCTCACTATGGACTAGGCACTGTTCTGATACTTTACGTTATTCACTCATTTAATCCTCTCTTTGAAGATGGGAAGATCAAGCCAGAAGAAAGACCACCCACGACATGTGTGAATGTCAGAACCAGAATTTGAACCTAGATGCTCTGCCCACAGAGCCTACTCTTAACACAGAATCAAACTAACTCTCAGATAAGCCTGCACGGGATAAAAGGAGGGGAAACCCCCCTGGCGAAATTGGAATTCCTATCTTAGCACCATCTTAAGCAAATTGCCTGACTGGGCCTCAGTTTTCTGATTTCTAAGGAAATCAACCAATAACAAATGCTGACGGGGCGGGAGGGGGTTTGGAACTCCTTCACTTTTGTTGGGAGTGTAGAGTGGTCCAACCAATTGTAGAGATTTCTCAAAAAGCTAAAACTAGAGGTTCCATTTGACCCAGCTATTACCCTTCCTAGTATCTTCCTGAAAACATTTAAGCATCGTATCACAGCAATACATGTATACCCATGCTCACAGAGGCACGGTTTGTCAGAGCTAAATCTTAGAAGCATCCCAAAGTCCAATCAACCAATGAATGGGTAAAGACGATGTGGGTGGGTAGATAGGTATAGTAGAGTGATACTCAGTAATAAAGAAGGATAAACTTGAGACATTTCTGGGTAAATGGATGCGCCTTGAGACCATACTCTTAAGTAAAATAAATCGGATACACATGTGTAAATATGACACACTCTCTGGTGTGAGAAATTGAAAGTGTAAAGAAGGACCAAAGTGTACGATAGGTATTGTGGAACAGGAAGAATGCATAAATAGGAAAAAACACTCAAGTAGAAAAGGGAACTAGGGAGAGGGGAGCGGGAAAGGAAAAAACAGGAAAAGGAGAAAAAATGGAAACAAAGCTTTTGTAAACAAGGAGGAAGAGGATTTTGAAGGGAAGGTGGGGGGATGGGGGAACAAAATCAAGACATATCATGTACAGGTATAAATTCCCTGTGAGGAGTGTGATCATTATGTATATCTGAAATGTACCTATAAAATTAACTACAAATATAGAAATAAAAATGAATCTTTAAAAACTTTGTAAAAAAATGTTCCCCATGGTAACTTGAGATTAGCCAAGGCGGGAACGCTTACACCCCAGAAACTGGCCAAGGCTGCAAATGGGAGCTTGTCTCTGTGGAAGGGAAAGCTGGTTTCACAGCACGCCATTCCCGCATGCAATGCCCAAGTTGATTCGATGGGGAAAAAATCGCTGCAGGGAAGTCAGGCATCATCCTGCAACAGGTAGAGATGCGCTCTGGCTCGCTGGATGGACAAAAAAAGTCCAGAAATTTTATGAGGGGTAACCCATTCATACCACTTTAATTTCATGAGACCTGAGATCTGAGCTGAGACCACCTCAGATGGCAAAAGCCAACAAAACAAAGCAAAATGGGTTTGGGGAGGGCAAGGATTCATATTCATTAGAGACTCACTATCTGCCAGGACTGGGGGCCACTGCTGTCCCCCCATCTGCCTCAAGCCTTAAATGAGCAACTTATCAGCAAAGGGCATAATGCCAAAGCATGGTGACATTGTTGTCCTTTTTATTTTTCCTTGGTGGTAGTGGCGATCAAACCCAAAGGGTTGGTCACGCTGGGCAGTGCTCTACTACTGAGTTACACCTTTAATCCTCCTTTTTATATTTCAGTTTGAGTCAAGGTCTTGCCCAGGCAGGCCTTGAACTTGTGATCTTCCTCAGCTTTCCAAGTAGCTGGGTTCACGGATGAATGCTGCTGTGCCTGGCTCACCATCATCCTCATTATTATTGTTATTAGGTACTGGGACTCAAACTCAGGACCTCGCACTTCCCAGGCGGGCGCTGCACTGCTGAGCTCTATCCCTGGCCCTCATCATTATTCTTAAAGTACCCACAACAGCCTCCATGGAGCCGGGACCCTCGCCTGGTCCCTGAGACCTTCACAGTGGGACTGGGCAGGGTGACTGGGACCTGTCTCTATCCTCCACTCACCACACGTCGGGGTGATGCTCAGCAGAAACCCACTTTGAGAGGTCCTGTGAAGGGTGAAAGTCTTGGATGTGCAGATTTGAAGGTGTCAAGAGTGGGACATGAACCACATTCCTCTGAGCTGGGCAGGAATGGCAGGCTGGGCATGGAGAGGAAGAGGGAGGAGGAGGAGGAGGAAGGAAACAGGGCATTTTCCTCCTCACCCTGGGTGTCTCCACAGGTCTCAGAGGACTTAGTATTCCAGAGCCTGGAGCAGGTCACATATGTACTGGATTTTCTAGTCCTGATTTCAAATCACTGGTTTGTCCCACCCGTTGCTGGTGTGGATGATGCAGTCTGCACTGAGCTGAAGATGCTGGGTCTGGTTTTGACTTTTCAAAGCTGTTCCGCTGGCTCTGGGCTCTTGGGGGGGGGCAGCCTGTGTTTCTCAGGTGAGCACAAGAGAAAATGCCAATTTCACTAATGGGCTTGAGCTGTGGACAGGAGAAGGCCAGGCCCAAAGGGGAAACCCAGGGAATCCTGCGACTGCTCCAAAGCCAAACCATGCAGGAATTCAGAATTTCGGGGGACATGGTTGCCTCTTACAAGTCCCTGGGTCACTCTGTTGACTTTATCCAAGGCTACAAACCTTGTGCTCAGTCTGACTGTGGCCCAGGAAGTGGAGGGAGCACAGAGCACCAGGCACGAAGGCCGGCATCTGTCCCCAGCGTGGACCTTCAGTGGCCACAGTTCCCTCATCACCTGTGAACCTGCAGAAAGGCAAGCTGGGCCGAGGCCTGAGGTTTTCCAGCTGTGCTCCTGACCCCCAGGAGCAACCCAGGGAGGGACAGAGGAGGCGGTAGCTGTGGCTCCTGGTTCCCAGATGGGCCTCAGCAGGAGATGCTGTCCCAGAGAGTTTTGGGGTCACAGAGTCGCCTCCAGTGGGACTGCTGGAGACTCAGGCTCGCTGCTTAGGAGAAGCCTTGCCCCATCTGCCTCCTCCTTCCCCTCCTGGGGGCCTCTCCTCTGCCTCCTCCAGCACCAGTTTCTACATCTCCAGCCACAGGTGAAGAGCCAGAGACAGAACAGGGACTAATCAAGCAAACGCCACTGTTCCGTTCAGGGAGGGGGCGGGTGCCAGCGGCACAGGGTCCCTGGGAGCCCTGAGGAAGCAGCCCGAAGGAGAATGAACTCTGCTGAGGAGGAGCCAAGTTCCTGAAACCTGCATTTCTTAATTTCCTGGGGAAGAGAACACATGGAGAAAGGGAGGTGATGGTGACACTGCCTACCTGAGCAGATGGAAACGGGGACCAGGTGCTCACCATGGCTGGCCTGGCTAGGTCAGAAATGCAGCCAAGACCACAGAAGCCAGACAAGCACAGCTTCCAGCCAGTCTTGTGTCTGTGAGCCCCAGGGCCACTAAATCTGCCTTCTGCTTATTCACAGCCCCCTGAGACACCCTGAGCAGGATGTGGGCAAAGATTCAGTCAGCAGACACTGACTGACATCTAGGTAACATAGGCCAGGGCCTGCGTGGAGGGACGAGGACATTATCGCAGGCTGTCAGGTCCTCACGAGCTCCGGAGAGGGCTGACAAAGCCACGTCAAAACCGTGTGTCACGAGGACTGACCGGGGTGTGGCTCAGTGGTCACCCCTGCTGCCCATGCACAAGATCCTGCATCGATCTTCAGCCCCTCAAAAAGAAAAATATCCCGTGCAAACTGGATGTGTTTTCCTGTGGCTCCAGAGGAAACACAGACTTGAATGGAGCCACTCACTGGATTTAGGGACCTGAAAAGACCATCAGTGACTGTTGCCAAGGAGCTCCTGGATGGCGGGTGCAGATAAAATGGACACATCAATCACCATCATGGCAGCTGGGACGTAAGGTGGCTGGGGTGGAGGGGGCTCCTGCCCAGAGAGATGCCAGGAAAGCAGCACCCTGGCCCTGCCCAACCCTAGTAGGGCAAGTTACTTAACCATCCTTTTGTCTCAGTGTCATCTGGGAAGTGGAGACAATGGGGGGCTTAGCTCACAGGGTGATTAACAAGGATTAAGCAGGGTAATAAATGCAAAGCCTTTGAGGGGTGCGCCTGGCACATGGTCAAGGTCAGCCAAGTGTTTGATAGTACCAGGACCATGTCCTGCAGACCTCTTAGGGAGGAGAGCACTGTGGGAAGGTTGGGCAGACCCAACTGAGGGCGCCCACAGCCGATAATCCCTGCAAACAGAATGGCCTTTTGTCTAATGTTCCTGACATGGACCATACTCTTGGTTCAGGATCTTAGCAAGTGAATAAGGAACAGTGTGGACTTAATACGATTTTACCACAAGTTAAACATGTAGCTGTTGCTGGCTACCTTTTGGAAGGTAAGGTTCCTGTCCAGCTCTGTATAGAGTCACCTTGTATTTTACGTTGTGCCCACCTAGAGGACTGGGTGCTCAGATCCCACCGGTAGTGTAAGGAATCAGATTTAGCATCAGAGGACAGTAATTTCTGGCAAAGTTCTACCTATAACAACATCCTTACTTTTAAGATGAGGAAACCAAGTCATAAAGGGGCCAAGTGGTGTCCCTAGGGCAGTGGTGGCAAACCTGTGGCATATGTGCTGCAGCGGGCACACAGAGCCCTCTCAGTGGGCACATGTGCCAAGTCACCCCAGCATCACCCCAGCAACCAAGCATCAGATAACAGTGCATCGAGGGGCAGTGTTGGCACTTTTGAGATAAGTAAATGGCTTGGGGTTGCAGTTTGGGCACTTGGCCTCCGAAAGGTTCGCCATCCCTGTCTGGAGTCACACAGTAGGGAAACAGCAACCAAAACCTAGGTGAGATGGGGACAGAAGTGGGAGGTGGGGAGGAGAGTGTCCAGCAGGCTGAGGGGCTGGGCTCGGTCACACAGAGGCATGTCTCTTCTTGAATGCAAAGTTACCGGCACATCAGTAAATAATTATAAAAAGCTCAGGAAAATAGACTTCATTTCTGGCAGCCCAAACCACCCATATGGACTTAGTACTCCGTGAAGGATCCTCGGAACCAGCGGCCCGAGTCTCGTGGGGACTGTGAGCTGGCGGGAAGGAAAGGGCCACGTCCCAGCCGTGCTAAGTGGGTCACAGCACGGAGTGAGCAGACAATCTAGTTATGAGACCCGTGTGTGTGGTGCTGTTTTAAGAAGGGTGGTCAGACACCAGAGTTTTAAAATCAAGTTGTCTTTAATTTTTACTGCTTCACTAAATTATCAGGCTATGTTGAACAAACTCCTTAACTTCTCAATGCTCATCTCCCTCAAGAAAGATGAAACTAGTAAGCACAGAATAAGAATTTATTTTTCTGTGTATGATCTGAGAAGACTTCAAGAATCACATAATCCAAATTTTATGTTTCACTTGAGGAAACGGAGCCCCAGAAACATCAAGAGTCTGGTTTCAAGGGTAGAGTAGAGCCAGCTAGTGACAGAGCAGAACCAAGGGAACCTGGTTTATTACACGCTGACTTTTCCAGAAAATTCCACTTTAAAAAAAAATGCTTTTAAGATGCTCAGTTTTCAGACTGTCACCCACATGCAATCACTTTTGAAAAGGTGGGATAAAAATTCTGAGTGGTTTCTCTCTGTGCCCCCGTAGTTTTGGCTGGCTGCCATTTTGGCTTCTGGGGTAGAAAGTGTTCTGGGAAATAGTATTTTACATGGTAACTTTCAAAGTCAGCCGTTCAGTTTCTGGGTGATTCGTCAGGCCTACTCACACAGAACAGAGGCTCTGCACAGGAGCGCGTGTCTTGCCCTCTCCTGAGCCCAGTCTCTCTTGCCAAGGCCTTTTCAGAAACTTGCTGACTTTCCTCCACTAAATTTACAGCCTTGTAGGCCACAAAAGCAGGCGTGGCCCGGTGTGGAAAGAGTGAGAGGCTTTGCAGTGAGCTAGGCCGGGGTTGAGATCTAATTCTTTCAACACTGATTCAGCAAATATTTATTTAGAGCTTCTTATGTGCCAAACCCCGTGTTGTATGACCTTGGGTGGGTCATTTAACCTCCTTAAGCCTCAGATTCCTCTTCTGTTAAATTAAGAAAATAAACCCTTCCTGTTAGTATTGTTCCAAAGAGTAAAGATACAAACTAAATAAGAGCTGACAGACAGTAGGGATCAGTAAATAGTGGCTGCTAACATTTGTGCTGGAATCTGAGTTATGGATACTCAGGATATGGATAATATATTATCATTAAATTGATTTTGTTAATACTGTCAAAGTAAATGAGCTCATGATTGGAATTTAAATGAGCATTTGTTACACAGTGGCCATTTATACAACACCAGAAGGTATATTTTGCCCATATTACTCTTCTCTGAAGGCAGTTTAGCTAGGATTCCTATAGTTGTGCTACTTTTTAAGTATTGCTCCATGTTGAATTATGCGTTGTATCATTAAATTGACAAATGGGAAGTCAGACAGAAAACTGGGCAGAGTGACAGTTACAGAGAAAAAGAGAAGAAAGAAAATGCATGAGAAAGTACTTATCATCTTTGGAGAAATCTACAAGTAACTTTAAAAAAATACAGTGCTTTCTTATTTCCTAGAATAACAGACGTTATTCTAGAACGTTCTCTAGCTCCTCCATCCAGGAGGAATCGGGTCACAACAGAGCTGGCCTTGAGCTCACTTTATAGCCCAGGCTGGTCTCCAACGCGCAACTGCCCAAGGCAGTTGTATGTTCAGAACTTGATCTGGAACCGGGGCAAGGTGGGCGGTGAAAAGTATGTTCAGAATTCAGTACGGGTGAGTGGGATGTCGATCCTCCCTGAGGATGCTGTTCCTTAAGATGTGTTATGTGCCTGCACCAACTCCCCCATGACAAATGTAATCACTATCAACAACTTGTACTAATAAAAAAAAATTTAAAAGAGTGCCAGCCCTAAGATTGGGTTAAATGCATGAAGTCATAAAAAATGTAGACTCTGAGGACCCCTGTGAGTCGCTTTCGCCATCTGCAGGTTGGAGAAGCAAAGGAAAAACAAACTTTCCAAATCAAAGGGGGAAGAGACCCGGGAATCCGGGGAAGAGGGTGTGGATGGGGGAAGACGTGAACATGGCCTGGCGTGGTGGCTCACGCCTGTAATCCCAGCACTCGGAAGGCTGAGGCAGGGGGATCGTTGTGCGTTCGAGACCAGCCTGGGCTACAAAGTGAGCTCAAGGCCAGCCTGAACTGCAGAGAGGCCCTGTCTCAAAAAGACCAAAAAAAAAAAAAAAAAAAACACGAACATGGATAGGACTTTAAGGAAGTTTTTTTCTTTTCTTTTCTTTTCTTTTTTTTTTAGAGGATCAGGTCTCATTAGAGAGGTAATTATCAATCTGTTAGTCTCTTCCCCGTGTTCCTGAAGAAAGTCGCATGACTTCAGCTCCCAAAGATTGGAGTGGAGGGATTTTTATCTTAAACTCAATGCACCTCAGATTTAGGGGATTTTATTTATGCTTTTAATAATTTTCTTAAGTGCTTTTGGTTCCACACTCCTAAGTATGGTTGTGTCGCGTTTCTTCCCTGTGTCCCCTATGACATTTCTCAGTTTATAAATTCATTCTACAATCTGGTCGCGCGTCTTGCCAAAAAGAGCTGTGGCTCCTTGGACGACACTGGCCCCTACTGTTCACAGAGGGACACAACAACCTGCCCTCTGAGGCTGAAATCGACGGGGAAAGAATCTCTAAGACAATGTCATTACCTTTGTGTGATAAAATCTTTTGGCTTGACTATTAAATCCTTTTTTTTCTGATTCTGTAATTATTGTTGGTTGGCATTTGAAAGGAATGGAGGATTGTGTTGGATATGCAGCGGTGTAACCTAAACAAAAATAAAATAAAAATCAGTACAAAAACAAAACGAATTGACAAATGCAAAAAAATCAGATGTGTATTAATATATTAAAGTTTTAAGTGGAGAAGAAAGTGTTTTGACCAGATATAAACATGAAACTATATTTTCAAGAAAGCATTCCCCATTTAAAAGAAAGAAAGGAAAAAAATGCTCCACCCACAGCCTATTTTTTATTTTGAGATATGTTCTCACTTAACTAAACTGCCCAGGATGGCCTTGAACTTTCAGTACTCCTGCCTCAGTCCTCCCGCCTCAGCCTCCAAAGTGCTGGAATTACAAACCCATGCCACCAGGCTCGGCCCCTGTCTTTGCTTTCTCTTTTGGAATTGACTAGACTTTCCCCCCTCCGGCCCAGTGAGGTGTGGCCATGGAAGCGCATCGAAGTGGACTGTCCCAGAACCAAGGGAAGATGCGACAGGAAGGCCAGCAGCCTAGAAGAGGAGAAGATCAGAGGACGGAGCCAGCACCCCACTCCTTCTGGGCCCAGAGTCAGACAGCAGTCAGGCACCGTGCAGATCCAGAGGGGCCAGGGCTGTCCCGGAGCGGGGCTGGCTCTCCTTCCAGAAAGCTATGCAAGGAGCAAGCTTCTGCTTTGAGCAATCAGGGCGTTCAAAAGCGGAAGGGGATCGTTTCTAGAAAATCATGTTTGAGTTTTCTAAGACAGGGCTGTGAGGTACACCTGTAACTCCTCCCCACATCTGGGCAGCTGATGTGACTTCTAGAACACCTCAGGCAGCAGGTGGGGGGGACCACAGACTCCCCGCCTGTGAGTGCAGTAGAGCATGGTGTGGAGCACAGCACATCCCTCTGCGTGCCAATGGGAAGGCCCGGGTGCGCACCCACCGCCATACCACCCTGCTTGCCCCTGTGGTGCCGGCTGGAACCTCCACCAGCCCCGTTCTCTCTCCAGGGTCACCTCCATTAACCACAAGGAAATCTCTAAGCAGTGCCCTTGGCCCTCATTTTCGTCTGTCTCTGGAAGCTTGGCCTGCACCCCCCAGAAAGCCTCAATCTGTGAGTAATGAAAGAACCGTCTCCTTCTTGACCCCTCCTAAGTGTGCCTGTGATTTTGCCAGTCCTGACACCCCAGCCAAATTTTAAGTGGGAGTCATTATGACTGTGTGCTGCCAAATTATCTTCCCCTCAGGGTCCTAACCCTCAGAGAGAAGTACAGCCAGTGACAAAGCCAGCCAGGGGACGGGGGACGGTACGGGGTGGTGGCAGCGGGCACGGTTTGCATGGAAACTATCTTGCAGGCCCATTTCTTAGTCTCTGAATGTTTGAAAAAACAAAACTCTTTTGCACAGAGGGAAGCTCAACCCCAAAAGGAGCCCCTCATGAGGGACTGTTAAGAATCAGCTGAACAGATGAGGAAACTGAGGCAGAGAGGAAGTTACTCACCCAAATCACTCTTTCACTGGATTGCCATAAGTAAGAAATCTGAGGATTAAACACAGTTTGTGCTGTGATCCCAGGCCTTGAAGCTCTTGGCCATGGTTTGTCTCCCTAAATAGGGCCCAGACTAAGCTCTCAGTTATGAATGAAATAACGGAGCACCCAGGCCCCGGCCTAAGGATGAAGCTTTTAAGGCAGCTGCACATATGTTCAGGTAGTAAGCATGTGGAGAGATCAGTACATGGCACGTCCATGCTTCTCATCTTCCTCTGAGAAGGTGGATGGTGAAACACAGATGTAACTGAACAGCTTTTGCTCCCAGAGCCTAAGGTTGCAGACCAGTGGAGAGGGTCAGGCCAGGATGGCAGAGGTGGGACATAAAGCATGTCCCAGGTGGTGCCCAGGGAGAGGCCCCAACCCTGCCAAGGCACAGAGGTATCTGGGGAAGCCACCGTCATCCTGAGTTGAGGAAGTGGACCTGGGAAAGGCCGAGGTGGCCCATGTCCACAGGGCAGGGCGCTTCAAAAGAGGAGAGGGGGAGGGGGCTTCAAAAGAGCCGTGGGGTTCTGACCACTGCCTTCAAGTGCTTGCCTGAGCAGACCAGCACCCTGGGGTGGGGAAGAGGGGGGTCAGTACGCAGCCTGGGAGAACCAGATGGGAGAATCCTAGGGAACAACCCCAGGGCTCACATGGGGCAAGGCACAGCTCCTGCTTCCACCAGGCAGAACGGAAAACCTTCTACTCACAGGACACTTAGCATGCAGCCTGGCTTTGCCTCAGAAACAGGGCAGATGCTCCTGGACAGAATCTGCTGTGGTCCAGCTATTGAAGCTGAAAGGCACAATCTGAAAAGATGAAACCGTTTCCAGGTAACATCACCTGTATCCCAGAGCAAAGCACAAGAATATGGAAAGGATTACACAGAAAGTACTTCCAATAAGTAAAATTCAAAATATCTGTCATCCACAAAAAATTCAATAGGTGTACAGAGAAGGAAAAATATAATTCAAAATGAGTATAAAACAAAGCTAATTGAAAAATTGCACAGATGACAGCGTTTATAGATATCAACATTGATTATAACCAGGACATTGGCTGTATTCCACATAGTGCAACAGCAAGCAGAAACCCTGAAAGGACACCCAGGATTTGGAGGCAGATTTAGTTACATCCACGGGCACTAAATGGGATCACTCCCAAAATATCAGAGCCCAATCTCTGTAGGTCTAGGGCCTATCCTGGATAAGCAAGCAGGAAGTACAGAGGCAGAATGGTTTGTCAGTTAGGGACTGGTGTATGCAATGTGTATCATGTGACCAGCAGTGTATCACGTGACCAGCCGTTCCTAAGAGACAGGAGCAACTGGAACTGGAACAGGAACTGTTAGCTGGGCAACTAAGAAACCGAGGTTCACTAGTGGGGTGGGGCGAGGTACTTTCTGCTACAGTAGAGTTGGAGGGAGGGATTAAATGTAGTAAGTGGAGATACAGAAGATATAAAAGATTCAAATCAAACTTCTAAATATGAAAACTAAGTTGTCTGAAACTACACTAGATGAGATTAGACACTGCAAGAAAACAACATGAATGAATCTAAAGACACAAGCATAGAAAGTGAGAGAGTAAAAGTTAGTATGTAGAAAGCTGTGGGAGCCAGGCGTGATACATGCCTATATCTCAGCACTCAGGAGGCTGAGGCAGGAGGATCGTTGCAAGTCTGAGACAGCCTGGGCTACACAGTGAGCTCAAGGCCAGCCTGAACTGCGTAGCAAGACCCTGTCTCCAAAAAATAAAATAATAAAGAAAAGAAAGCAAGCTAGCTGTAAGGCAACTTCAAGGAGCTTCATACACACGGAATCAGATGTCCAAACAAGAATTTGTCCCTCAGTATCCATGGACCATGTTCCTGGAGACCTTCATATGCTCCAGCCCCTTTTTTGAAATGGCAGTGTTTGCATATAACCTGTGCACATTCTGTCATGTACTTTAAAACATCTCTAGATTACTGAGAACTACTACAATGCAAATGTTACATAAGCCTTGTTATAATACATTAGTTAGGAATAATGACAAGAAAACAAATTTACATGTTCAATACAGACACAGTCTTTTCAAAACATTTTTGGTTTGTGTGTGTGTGTATGTGTGTTGATACCAGGGATCAAACTCAGGACCTCGCACTTACCAAGCAAGCACTTGAGCCGCTGAGCTAAATCCCTGGCCCCTCAAAACATTTTGATCTACTATCAATTGACCGTGCAAGTACAGGTCTAAGCAATGGGGAGGCTCGGACTATCTAAGGAGAAGGAGAATAGAAAAAGTATTTGATTGAAAAGTCTCCAGATTTCATTTTGATCTGATTCAGAGAATCCAGGAAACTCAATGAACTTCAGGAACAAGACACATGAAGAACAAAGGTACATCATAATAAAACCACTTTAAAAAAAAAATAGAAAGCAAATTTTTAAGTCAGGCAGAAAAGGGGTTCTTGTGTTGTGTTGTGTTGTGTTGTTCTGCTCTGCTCTGCTTGGTTTTTCAGACAGACTGCAGTTCAGGCTGGCCTGGAACTTACTAGCATCCCAAGCTGGCCTCAAACTCATGGAAATCCTCCCGTCTCAGCCTCCAAGTGTGGAATTTACAGGCATGCCTGGCAAAAGACTCATTTTACATGAAAAAACAATAAAAGGACAATACCAAGTTACTTTTTGGAAGCATTTTTTTTTTGTGTGTCTTTTTCAGTTTTTATCGGTACCAGGGATGAAGTCAGGACCGCCTGCTTGCAAGGCAGGTGCTTATGCCGCTGAGCTAAATCCCCAGCCCTTTGGAAGCATTTTTAAGGTAATGAAAAAATTTTTTGTCTTTTTGAGACACGGTCTCCCTATGCAGTTCAGGTAGGCTTGAGCTCACTTTGTAGCCCAGGCTGGTCTCTAACGTGCAACAGTCCTCCTGCCTCGGCCTCCCAAGTGCTGGGATTACAAGTGTGAGCCACCACGCCTGACCCCAAGGTAATGAATCAAATTTTTTAAAATGCTGTCACCCAATAAAAATAACTTCAAATACAGGAGCTGAATGAAGACATATAAACACACAAAAATAAAAAAATTAATCACCAGCAAACTGGAACTACAGGAAATGTTAAAAGAAGTCCTACAGGCAGACGATGAATGATACCAGTCAGAAATCTGGATCTACATAAAGGAATGAAGAGCTTGGGAAATACTAAACATTCATTGAAATAAATGTAAAATTGTAAGTATAAACTGATGAATTTAAATAGAAATACAAAATGTAAATACTCTAGGAGGCTAAAGCAGGAGTTCAAGTTCAAACTGGCCTGGGCATTTTAGTGAGACCATGTCTCAGAATAAGAAATTACAAAGGACTGGGGATGTGACTCACTGTGAAGACTCTTATTTCAATCCTCAATGCTACGAAGACAAGTAAATTATTTTTAAAATAATTGACCATTTAAAACAAAGAACGATAATATATGATGAGGTTTATAATATATAAAAAAGTAAAATGTTTGATGACAATAGCACAAAAATCAGGAAGGGAAAAATAAAAATATATCCTTTCAAAATTCTTTTGCTTTTTGTGAAATGTTATAACATCACTTGATAGTAGACAGTGATAAATTAAAGTTGTATACTACACATGCTAAAGTAGATATCAATAAACTTTTTCTATCAACAGTCAGATAATAAATATTTTAGGTTTTGTAGATTATAGGTCTCTGTTATAACTAGTCAACTTTGCCATTATAGAGTAAAACCATTCATAGGCAATAGATAAATAAACAGAAAAGAATATGTGCCAGTAAAATTTTATTCATAAAAATATAGTGGGTCAGATTTGACCCAAAGTTTTTTAGCATTTTCTCTAGGGCAATGACTAGGCAAACACTGCAGAAGTTATTCTTAATAAACTAACGAAGAAGATAAAGTAAAAGCATAGAAAAGTGCTCAAAGTAAAAGAAAACTAGAAAAAATAAAGAAAAGATGAATAGGCTAGAAATCAAATCACGATCAAATTTACACAGCAGTAATCACATTAAATGTAAGTATTCCAAATTAAAAGACAGGGGTTGTCAGGTTGGATAAGAAAGATGACCCAACTATATGCTGCCTATAAGAAACATACTTTGAAAATAAACCCAGAGCTGGGCGTGGTGGCTCATGCCTGTAATTCCAGCACTGGGGAGGCTGAGGCAGGAGGATCGTTGCGAGTTCGAGACCAGCCTGGGCTACAAAGTGAGCTTAAGGCCAGCCTGAACTGCAGCATGAGACCCTGTCTCAAAAAAGACAAAAAGAAAAGACAAGAAAAGAAACCCAGAAATAAGTCAAAAATAGACTTCATGATGAAATAAAACATAATAACAATTTTTTTAATTGTTAAAAAGGGCGTAGTCAGAACTTGAGCTTTAGGAAATAAAGAAACAAGATCTCTTTCACATATAAAATTGAGCATATACATTCCTCATTCAATGACTGAGTTCCATTCCTTATTAGGAATGGTATATACTACATACACTACAATAATCAGACCAAAGCTACGGTCAAAGGAAACTCCAACTTGATGGCTTTGCTTTTATTTGCAAAAGTCTTTCATGCAGTACCGTAATGTGTAACAGAACATAAAACTACAGTGCTGTACAGTACAACCAGCTATCATTACAATACTGCATGAACAAGGTATACTGTATAAAAGAAGATATTGAGGCTAGAGACAAGATATACAGAACTGTACCACAGAGGACACTAAGACTAATGTTTTAGCTTCAGTCTAAGTCTGAACAGTCTTTAAACAAGCATGTCATGAAACAAGGAATATCTGTTCTATATAGAAATAGCGAATCTGCTTTTTTTGTTATTGTTTTAACGACACCTCCTTCATCTCTTCCTCTCACACTTTCTGCCCACTCATCACACTTGGGGCCGCAGGGCTAAAGGCAATCGCTTTGACAAGCCTTAAGGATAACCTGGACGATACAACCCAGGAGTCACCATATTCCACAAACCGTGCTCTTATATTCTAAAATTAACATGTCTCTAGCCAGGCATGGTGGCTCGTGCCTGCAATCCCAGCACTCAGGAGGCTGATGCAGGAGGACTGTTGCAAGTCTGAGACCAGCATGGGCTACAAAGTGAGTTCAAGTGCAGCCTAAACTGCATAGCAAGACCTTGTGTCAAAAAAAAAGACAATAAATAAATAAAATTAAACAAACATATCTCAGGAGCTCTCTCCTCCCAGAGGCATATGTGATTTAAATTCACTAGACCTTTCTTCACTTTGTTGACAAATCTGGAATGTCCACCAAATTGCTTGTCCTTCTGGATGGAGTAGTTCATGTTAGCAAGGCTCTGTGATATGTTCCATTTGTTTGACAAAAATCTCTGCTACATGTTCTTCTAAGCACCTGAAACAGCAAAATAATAGCATTTGTGGGTGATTCAGGCACACGAGGCCCAACACTCCCCTTTTCCCCCTGACGGCAGTGGGGTGTGATCCCACTGACAGCCGTCATGTGCTTCCCCTTTGCCCCTCCCAGGGTGCCGTGGGGTGAGAGCCCCAGTGTCGTCTTGTCAGCCACCTCTACGGTTCCCTCAGCAGCTGCCTAGGTGCTCACTCCCAAAGCCTCGACAGGCCCCAGCTTGGCCCACTGCTGTGACAACCTTCCCCTCTTCCAGGCCACGATGGCTGCTTCTCTGAGGAGAGGCAGAGGACCGCTCCTGCCAGGGCAAAGGCTGGGGCACACTTCTGAGTCTCCAAAACCCCCAAGCCCCAGTGGGCTGTGATCAACACTGCTATCCTTCCGGGAACCTCTTTCAAAACAGTAGTCATAATTTCAGCTCCAACATTTTTTTTTTTAAACACAGGAGCTATCAATCAAGGGAGCTGTCACCATTCAGGTGAAGCGGTCCCAGATGCCCCATGGCCACTGCAGGGGATACTGGACTTAGCCACACTTGGCTTTACACATGGATCTACCCTCGATGACCCTACCCTGCAACCTCCAGGTGACCCTGCCCCCTTTTGTCACTATTTTAAGTCTCCAGAGCCTGCTTTTCCCATAAGCCGGTGGTGACCATGGGGGTGAGGGTAGAACCAGGTAGTCAGCCTGCCTTTCCCAGGAACCAGCTGGTGTGTGGGCTGGGAAATAAGAAACCCACACTCCCACACTCCCACAGCCCCACGGCCATGTAGACAACAGGCTGATCCGGAGGAACACAGGACGGGATGATAGCAACAGAGATACAAAGGTTATTTAATGCTTGTATTGATTAATTGACTTTACAAACCTGGGGCTGGTAGTCTGAGCATCTGTTTAAATGATAACAATATGCAGTATAGGCTATCTGGGGACTTTTATTTTTATTTTTTACTTAGAAGGAAATAAAACAGTAAAATGGAAAAAAACGAAACAATGAGGAACATGTTGAATTTCAAAAACAACACAAAAGGAAATTCCCCACAGTCACTACATTGCTGTTGATGATTTTAAAAATAGACAGATACAGGCTGGAGATTTAGCTTAGTGGCATAAGCACCTACTTGGCAAGTTCAAGGTTGTGAATTTGATCCCCAGTACCAAAAAAGGAATAAATAAATAAAAATAAAAATAGAGACAAGATATGATCAAAATATATGGTGACCACTTAAATTTAAAAATCTATTACTGTAAAAGACACATACTGCGTTTATTCTCAACCTGTTATTTAAAAAGCACATCAGCACTGTAGAATTATGAGTGATAAGACAAGCTTTCCTAGGGCTGGGGATTTAGCTCAGTGGCATAAGCGCCTGCCTTGGAAGTGTGAAGTCATGAATTCGATTCCCAGTACCAAAAAAAAGACAAGCCTTCAATTATAACAATACATCCAAATTGTGCATATTTTGGAAAATATAAAAATTACAAAAATTTTTAAACAATCCATAATCTTACCACCTAAGGATAACACTGACGACTGTGCTTTCTAGTCCGTCATGGCACACCTGTAAAGTCATGAGAGTAAGTCCAGCCCAGGTGCGAACACAGCACTGCACAGGGAGCCTCACTATACACCTGCTTGTAGAATCTAAGAAAGAGGAGTGGAGATACACCGTCTTCATAATCAGCATCATGCACCCAGTCTTAGGGGCAAGGTTATGGCCTGCCCCTTTACAGCTTGAATTTTAGATGAGTCATTTTGAAAGTTTTAGAACCATTTCTTCTTCTATAAACTGGAAGTGATAGAGTACCTTCCTCTTAAAATGCTTGTACAGATAAACATGATGCACTCTGAGTAGTTAATGCTGACCAGCCTGCAGGAGGTTTTTATTGTTAGATTTCTGTATATGTACAGAGAAACTGTATCAATGGTATAAAATAATAGCTATCATTTATTGAACTCATACTGCCCTAAATGTCTTGTATAGAATGCACCATGCAATCCTTGCAATAATTCAGTGGTGAAACCCCTATATTAAGATAAAAAGGCTGCAGGGTGAAAGCATTAAGTGACTGGCATTAAAGTTACACCAGAAGTAAGGTTTTGAACTCCGGAAGTCTAACTCGTAACTTCTATGAAAACCCCTAAGTCATTACACACTGTTAACATGCTAAATTTTGACAGTTGGTACCACTGAGTGGTTATGGTTGGTATTTAAAAGCTAAGATATCACAGATAATATTCAAAATACGAAATGACTACTTAAGACTGTTTCAAATTTTCACAGAATGTTAGGATTCCCCTGAACACAGTTTGACAATCCTTAAGGTAGTTCACTGTGGGCAGTTTTAATTGCTAGAAAGTTATTTCCCATATTGAAGCTGGTCTTTCTTTCTTTCTTTTTTTTTTTTTTTTTAAGTCATTGTAGTTCTAGCCTTTGGAATCCGCTCAGCATAATTCTCACCCCTCTGGTACATTGATGAGACTCAAAGTCAAACAATAGTCCGTAGTCTTTTGTGAAGTTTTTGGTGCATGCATGAGGATTGGGTCATAATATGCAGTGCACTTCTTACTGGGAACAGAGTCTGAATGTTTTTGAAAACCATCATTATATGGGATTGTCCTTCAAGAATTTGAAGGCAGCTGTCATCTTTCATCACCTAGAAAATAATCTTCTTCCCCACATGGGGTCACACTGGCATTTCCAATACCTCCTCCAAGCATGGGGTTCCTTCTTCTCGTTATAAAGAGCAGTATCCTCTGATTCTGTGTATGACCAGAGTCATCTAGGTCTCTCCTCAAACCTTAAAAATGATTTCCCAACCACTCTCTGTTACGAAGCACCATCCCATTTGTCTTTTTTGATGCACTGTTGTTATTGTTGTTGTTGTTGAGAAACACATAGTTATTGCTGGCCTTGAACTCTCTGTATATGGCCTGGAACTTGCAGAATTCTCCTGCCTCAGCCTCCTAAGTGCTGGGATTACAGGTGTACACCACCACAGACAAGGATTTCATGTCTTTTTGTTTTGTTTTTGCTTTATTTTTTAATGCATATTTCACTATCCAAATCTTCCCAGAGCTAGATTCTATAAGTATGTAACTCACACAGTTACAGTAGGTATGCTTTCATTTAACCAACTGTTTTTATAAAAAAGTTATGACATATGCTATTACTATATTTTATGTTTATAGTATTATCATATATTTTATATATTTATATGTATTATTGCAAGGGCATATCAACATATATTAAACCTGGTATACTGTTACTGTTTGTGGATTGTTGTCAAAGTTGGATAAGTAAGTACAGGTGATTTTTCTCCACTTGGTTATAATGTTATTAAGCATCCTGTGAGCATCTTACACTTTTCAAAGGACGGTCCAGTAAATAACCAATCTGACATTTTTCTTAGTCTGAGAAAGTATGTCAGAGACCCAGAAGGACTTTAAGCAGCCTGATAGTTTCTCACTAAGTCTCAATCTCACCCTTTCATTTCACAGATGGGTAAACCGAGGCCCACAGAAAGAAAGGTGTTTGTTGAGGAACACCCCAATTACCTGGATGGGCCCTGGATTAGGGTCCCCAGCACCGGAGCTCAGAAAACGTTTGTGCACTCGCAACGCTGAGGCAGAGGAGTCAGATCCTCATACCATTCACAGGGGCTCAGGGGCGAAGGCGTGGCATGGGAACATTTTTCAGGCGGACACTGTGGACATGTCCCCAGGAAAGAGCACCTTTCCTTCCCCAGGGGACCAACTCATTCGGCCAGGGTATTCTGCACACACACAGAGGCCTGAGGTCTCAGGGGGTGCCCACGAGGTGAGCCGTGTCCTCCTCCTCACGCCCTTAAGAACTGACGGTCCCCTAATGGCTACCACCTCCTACCTCTTTGGCCCCTAGGGTTCAGTCTGTCTGACCCAAACCTCCCTGTCTCTATGGCAACCCCTCACCTAACAATTGCAGTCCACCTTCTATCCACCTGCCGGCTGCCCCTTGCCAATGATGTCCTCTGTTTCTTTAGCGTGAAAAGTTATTGACCAATCATGAGAGCCATTTCAAAATCCACAAGGATGTGACCAGAATTTTAGGGCTCAGGGTAAATTAGTTATCCCAGGACCTGTGGAAGAACTAAGATGTTTTGTTTGTTTGTTTGTTTGTTTGTTTTTTAATCAAAACCCTTGGTATAGATCAAAAGCTTAAAAATTTTTCTTTCACTCAAAAACTATTTCTGGGAACAAACCTGAATTATCAGTATCCAATCCCTGTTTCTGATAAACGACAAAGATTGGTCTGACCAACTCTGTAATCTTGTCCCTTCTCTCCAATAACTCCTTTTGAATTGAGGATGAAATCCAAGCACAAAATGACGTTGGCACCGTCCTCTCTGGTCACAGCATCTATCACCCATGCCCCAGAAACACCCCCTAGCAGCCCTGCCGGTCCGTGGGAAGTCTCCACAAGGTGCCAAGCTCTGTCTCTCCCTGTGTGTTCTCTCTGAGCTCTCGCTGCCCCAGGAGGTGGACCTGTAGCGCCTCTCTGTCATCGTGGAGATCTCTCCCAAATGTGACTTCTTTGTCGGTGGGTCGGCATGAACCTAATGTCTCACTCGGAGATTGCTGTTAAGATTTAATGTGATGAAAAGCTTTCTGTCATCCTCAAAGCTCCACCGCATGTGTCTGACAGCCGAACCTTGGGGAAACAGTGGTCAGGGGCTAGGCAGGTTGTCGCCCTCCAGCATGGCTGAGCTGTAAACCACAAATGGGACTGCAGGGGAGGACAGGACAGGTACGCAGGGCCCCAGGACCCGGGAGGGCTTTGAGAAAGCTGGGCTTTGACGTTTAGGTCTTGAATAGCAGGTGGAAACGTAGGGAGCAAAACAGCAAGAAGCAAAATCCTGGAGGTGGCTGCTAGGAAAAGGGAGGCCCCCGATTAGCTGCTAAAGCCGAGCTCACCTGTCAGGCAGGTGGAAGTGAGCAATCACCTGAGCTCCCCGGGACAGCCGGAGGATAGGGGGGAAGTGCCCCACAGTTCTTCCTGTGGCCACTAGAGGGGGGACCCCTCCTGGTGAGCATCTAGCCGGGTCCCCTGTTTCTCCCCTACGCTGCAAGCAAGCTTAGCAGCGCAGCCAATAGCCAGAGACTGTCCCGCCCAACGCCTTCTCATAGCCATTCGTCTGCGCAAACTCTCCGCCAGCTTCTGATTGACACGATATTTGACAAATCAAATCGCGTCCTTGGAAAGCAAAACACTGCAGCACTTTCGCAGGCCTAGGGAGGAAGGAATTAAGGAGGCTGTACCTCCGGGTTTGCAAGAAGAGTCCAAGTCATTTCTCAGAAGCCTCTGATAGGTGGACCTTAGAGGAAACGCCACCGGTGAGTCGTAGTCAAGACCGGGGAGAAAGGGAACCTGAATTCAGCCTGCGTTTTTCAGCATTTATAATCATCCAACAAGCCCTGGCATAAACACCTCCTCTCTCCTTGCTGTCGCCAGTCTCGTCAGTTTGGCTCCTGTTGCCTTGGAAGTTCTTTTATTTTTTTTAAATCCATTTTTGCATCAAAGGAAGAGGGTGGGCACGAGCTTGCCTTAATAAAGATAATGCCAGGCTTTACGAAATCGGGAGGTGAAATGCAATAACTTTGCCAAAATGATTTCTCTACATGGCTCGGAGATCCTGGAGGAGCAGATGGTGGAGTTAGCAGGTGGGATGAGATGAGGCATTCTTGGTCTATGCTGGCTGCTGGAACAGAGGTCTGCCTCGCTGCAGCTGCAGTTTTCAACTCAGTGGGAGGGGATGGAAGAGTGCAGCCCTTCCCCACAGATAAAGCCCAGGAAAGCAAAAGCTTGCCATGTAACTGACACCAGCCAGAAGCTGAATCGTCAGGTAGTGGGAAAACCGCAGGTTTTATTTACGTTTTCAGTTAAGAGTCAAATGCTAACACGACCCTCCTTTTAGCAGCCACTAGTCAAGGTGCCTTCCTCTGTGAAGTATCCTTTGTGGAATTGGTTAAATAATTCATTGCAATAAGAGCTTGGGCATGGGAGCAGAAGCAAACACCTGATGAATTCTCTTTCCTCTGTGGCGTCAATGACCATGACCTGTGACCGTCAATCTGGAGTTGGCTGCTTGCCTCTCCAGCATGTATGCTAATATCTTAGTTCTGGAACCAGGAAAAGAGTCACTAGGCAAATAATGTGCACCTTATAAGGGAGGAAAACTTGCAAAGTTCCCCCCATTCGTTCAGAGCAAATTACTACCAGCTGAAAGAAGCCGTCTGTCCTTGTAGGAGACGCCATAGAGACCTGGGGTGGGGGGTGTTCCTGGGGATGGGAGATGCTATTTAAAAGCCAATTAGACCATCATAAACAAAAACAAAACTAGAAAAGCAGCCGAGCTACAGGAGGCTAAGAAGTCTGGATCCCCAAAGCCTGTTTGCTTTCTCTGACATCCTGTGGGTGCGGTTGGGTTTATCAGTTAGTTGTTGCTCCCTTGTGGTTGGCTGAGCCTGAGTCAGACATTCTTGACTGTGAAGTGATCATAGTACAACAGGTGCTTAAGAGGCCTGCTTTTAATTAGGCGGGGTATAAGTACAAGTCACTTTACCAGGCTCTGGCTAGACCTGGGGGAGGGGGCACTCAGCAAACACCTTTCTAGAATTTGTGCCCAGTCCCTCTTCAACTCCAGGTGAGACCCCTCCTCCCAGAGCCTTTCAGAGAGAGAAAGAACCCTGAGCCACTCTTTCTACAACTCAAGACCAGATACAGGAATTTAACACAGGAATGCATTTCACATGTACATGAAAGTCTAGGGAAGAATAAATATGCTTTCTCCATAATTTTCAAGCCCTTATTTACAGATGTTTACAGGCTGGGAAGTCTGGTCATAGGATGTGAGTTAGAGTTCCCTGATGAATGTATCTCAACTGGAGGCAGCAGCAGTAATGTCATTTAATTATGAGGCCCTTTGATGGAGTGAGGCTTGGACCAAATGGTCTTGTGTTGTCTGTCCCCTGCTAAGCCTACATCCTTATCGCCTAAGTATTGGACATAGTGTTTGCTCTGTGACTTAGCCAGGTACAGTTCACACTTGGTACCAGAATTCCTGGGCCTATGTGTGATGGCAGAAGCTACAGAATAGGCTGCTCTCTGAACCCCATGGCATGGGAGAAACTGTGCCTGTTTAGCACGAGTGAGCCCTCAGTAACTTTCTCAGGTGGATCCTGATAGAAAGGTTAGGATATGCCTGAATACATTAAATGAATAAGCTAGTGAGAACAAAGGTAACACTAATAACAGCTGACATTCCTCACCCATTTTCCATGCATAAATTTTGCATGCCTTATTTCACCCAGTCTGCACAAATGCCTTGCAACATTATCATGCGTATTTTATAGCTAAGGAAACTGGCTAAACAGTTAAATGAGGTAAAACAAATAGTACATGACAGATCAAAAGCAATTTACAATGTTTTATATTAGAATAAACAATATGCAGTAGGATCCAAATTCATATGATTTTGTTTGGCACTTTTTTGGTTTGGGTGTTGGGAATTGATTTTTTTTTTCAAATATATAGAACCATTGGCAGGTTTTTGGCCTCGAACATTGTGGGCATATTTCCTCCTTCTCTGTTTGGTAGAAAAATTTGAGATGCTATCAGTCCTGTGAAATTAACAGGGATGACCACCATTGGTGGTTCTGCTTGATTCCACATATTACATGCACTTTACAGATGAGGACGCTGAGTCTCCGGGAGCCAAAGTGACCCAGTCAGTAAGGCCTTCTACCTCCCAGTGTGGTGCCCCCTGACGTATGCAGGCTGACCCTGGATAGCAGGCAGCTCTTCCATCTTCCCTGGAGATAGCTTTTCTCATTGCTTGCTTCCTGCTTTGGAACCCAGATCGTATCTTAATGGTCCAGGACTAGATTGGATTGTTTGGTTTTGTTTTTGTGATATAGAGATGTCTCAGCAGTCTCCTTCTCATCCTCAAGAACCTCTGAAAAAAAGGAGAGTTTAAATTACAGGCAGAAAGGAGGAGAGCAGGAGAGGGAAGAGGAAGTGTAAAATGAGAGAAAGGTTTTGAGATAGATGAGTGATGGCTCTCTTAAGGGACCTGCAGGGTGACACCGGCCTCACTTCTCATGGCCCACTGCATTCCGTCCTTGCGGTGGTCTTGGAGCAAAGCTGGGCTCACTGTTTCCCTGAACATCCACTTTTAATGTTCCTCTCCACACCGCAGAGCCCAGTGAGATTCAGAAGACACACGCTTACCTGCCTGCTCAGGAGACAGAAATTGGCTGTTCCCTCAGAGAAGCTGAAAAGAAGCCTGTGCAGCAGCCGCGAGAGCCTTGAGAACTCTTTTGGCGTGAGGAGGCGATGGCTGCTGGAGGGAGGTGAACACACCGAGCGATGGCTTCCGCCCGGGGCAGGATGTGCCACTAGACCGCCATGGACACCGCCCCCGGCGCAGGCCTGCAGCTGCAGCAGCTTCCGCCCGCCAGCAGCGCCACCTCCGTGAGCGTGAGCGAGGGCTCCTTCTCCTATAAGGCAAGTGCCCGTTTTTCAATATTGTACTTTGCTGTGTTTCTAACATGAAAGCAACAAAGGCAGCAGGGAGTGATGGGTGAATCCAGGGTCTGCATGCTTGTTACAGGCAGGCTGTCCCCGAACACAGGGCAGAGTGGACCCCCCAAAAGAGAAATGGCCATTAAAATACATAAAACAGGGAAGTAGAGAGACATGGTGAGGGGACAGCACTTAGACCACTTAGAACGTTTGAGTTTTTAAAAATCATCTACTTTATAGCCGGGCATGGTGGCTCATGCCTGTAATCCCAGCACTTGGGAGGCTGAGGCAGGAGGATTGTTGCGAGTTCAAGACCAGCCTGGGCTACAAAGTGAGCTCAAGGCCAGCCCGAACACATAGAGACTGTGTCTCAAAAAGCCAAAAATAGTAAATCATCTAGTTTTTGAGCCACACGTGGTGACACACACCTGTCCTCCCAGCTACTTGGGAGACTGAGGCGTACGGATGAGTTCAAAGTCAGCGTGAGCAGCTTAGCAAGACCGTGTCTCCAAAAAGAGAAAGAAACCACTTACTCCAGTACTTGGTGACAGTCTCTTCATGTTGTATCCATGTCCTTGTATTTGCTGGTACCTGTGTACAGATGTCACACGATGCGCAGTGGTTTTGAATTTGGTTGTTTGTCTCAGTCTTACTTGTGGAGTGTTTCCCTGTGGCATTGCGAGTGATTGCTTTTGCAATGACTGCCCAGTCCTAAGCTGCTGCGTGAAAATTCACATGTTGGACAGAAAGAGCAGATCCCTTCCTACTGGATATTCAGGTTGTTTCTAACCTGGAGTGACTGTCAACGATGAACATTAGAGTATAAATCTGATTTTTTTCTTTACTCAGGTATAATGAATAGGTCAAAGGGAACGAATCTTTTAAAAATAGAAAGTTTTATGATGTCAGTTTTGCACATTTCTAAGCACCTGTTCATAGAGCATCTGAAACACCTGTCTTTTTTTTTTTCTTTTCCTGGATCAGTGAGAGGCTGATAATATCCTAGAGGCAAAGGAGACTTAGAGGTCATCTCATCAAATCCCTTCATACTTATTTTTTGGGCTAGTAAAATGAGGCTGAAAGATGAGAAGTGACATACTTAGCAAGTTGAGAGACAGAACTAAAACTCTTGTTAATTCTGGATAATAATTGTGTCAATAAGAGTGATGACTAATATTTACTGAGTTTTTATTCTGTCCCAGGCACTGTGCTGGGTTCTACATATGTATTTTTGTAGGTAATCTTCACAGTAGCACTAAAAGTAAGCACAGTTTTCCTCATCTGTGAAGTGGGGCTAATAGCAAAACTGCCTCCTAGCCGTTACAAGGAATAAACGCGTTCAGCCATGGGAAGCACTTGGGACAGTCACCCACACATAACGACCAACTTCCTCAAATGCCTCCTGTTGCTATTTTCATTTCCATTTTTGGAGACAAGGAAGCTGAGGCACACAGAGGTGATACAGTAGCCCAGACTGGACAGAATTTAAACCTGGGACAGATTGACTGCACCCATGCTCCTAACCACTATGCCCCTGATGTTCTGCCTCCTCAGCCAGCTCTGCCCAACGCACTCTGGTGTTCTGGGTCACCCCACGTGCCAAAGGAGGAGGGGACAAATGGGGACACTAGGCATGGTCAGAGGGCCTAGATCATTTTAATTCTGGCCAACCAGCGGGCAGAAAGTACACACATGGGAGTTAGGAAAGTTTGCCTAGATTGGACCCTGATAATTGCAGCAGACTCGTAGCAAGGAGGACCTGCTAGTTCATGTCCCGGATCGCATGGTTTCTGCAGCATTGACATCTTGCCTCTTGGTCTTCTTCCCACAAAGCCTGCTATTTCCCCTGCCTTTGTGGCTATCATGTTTTTTAAGGCTATGATGGGAAAGTATCTGTCTGAAAACTGGAGACCTGGGGTCCTGGCCCAGCTCTGTCATCACCGGCTGGGTGACCTCAGGCAAGTCTTCTCTCCACCCCACTTGTGCCTCAGATTTTATCTCTGTAAAGTAAAGGGGCAGAGCTCACAGATGGTCCCCAGTGCTAATTGGTCACCAGAAATACCTAACATGCACTGATTTCTTGGCTTTGGGCTCAACTCTCTCTACCTTCCCCTTTCTAACCCCTCACCTCTGCCCTCCTTTAAGCTGTGGTTAAACATATCTAGGTAAGAAATCTTGAGTCTGCATTTTATAAAATCTCCCCAGGTGAATCAGACAGTCTGCCAGGTGTGGGAATGTCTGGACCACATAACCTGCTGAGCCTCCCCTCAGCCTCCAGCTTCATCATCCTGAGAAATCAAGATCGCAGGCCACCGTCACCACTGCTGTGGACAGTGAGAAAAGCAGACCCTTCTCAAGTGGGCAGTGTTTCTGTGATCGGCTTTGTAGGGGCCGTGGATTTCAAGATGGAGCTCACTTTTTATGTCAAAACCTTTTTTCTGAACCAACCATTTTATTGAAATATGCATAGAGAAAATATGTGTATCATAAGCACCAGATGATAAATTTTAACTAGGAATGCCCACATATAACTGGCATCCAAATTAAGAGACAGAACATTAGTAGCACCAAAAGCCTCCCTCAGAGGTACTCACCCTCTCATTGAATCAGCAAACATATGGAAAGTGGTCCAGGATTGATTTGGAAGAATTTTAGCAGCCTTGGGCCAGCCTGAGTGAAGACTACCAGGTCCTTACATCTTGAAGGTCCTGAAATCATATAAATCTTTCTCCTTTAAGTACGAAGCAACAGGAGCATCCCGTTCTGCTTCTTGATATTCTGAAGTTAACACCACTCACAATGCTATGCCTGGGTCTTCCTTTATAAAAATGATAAAGTGATGACATGGAGATATCATTCAATGCCATTTCAAGGAGTTTTTTTTATAGATCCCAAGAAAAGGGGGCATGGTGTGCCCCAGGGTGGGTCAGAAGGCAGAGAGAGCAAGGGATAAACCTTGATCAGTGCCTTTATTGTGATTTTCAAGGGAAAGACAAGGCAGGCAGGGTAACACTTTGGGATCGGCTAATTTGAATAATTCCAGAGGACTCTGAGATGTAGGGATTGACCGTATGGTCTACCCAGGCTTAGGTTAAAGTAGGGTGGGAGAAATATTGATTATGGGAGAGTTTGAGAAAGGAACCGAGAGAGACATGAGCTCTGATGGGTTAGCTGGCATAGGGGAGTGGGGCTCCTCCGCTGTCTCCTTTGCTCCCCCCGGAAGGGGCAGTCTCTCCCCGGACTGCAAGGCCAGCAGTGCCAGAGCATCAAGAGTACAGAGAATAAGGAAATGTAGTAAAGTCAGTTGCGCTGTGATGAATGGCTGCCTTAGACAGATCCGAAGTCTAAGGAAGTGGAACACTCTCCTTGATGGGATTTCTAATAAGTTTCCATTTTAATCACAAACTCGGTGCAGTTGCTTATTATGGAATGTCTTTGTGCCAGGGCAGAACTGAGTAAGTCATGGAGCATAAGAATTGAGATTGGAGACAATTGAGATTGTGAACAGGGGCTTATGAGCCCACTGAAGTGCCATGTGGGTCAAGAAGAAGACCTAGGTTCCAGTCCCTTCTCTGCTTCTTCCTAGCTAAGTGACACCTCCCCTTCTCGGCCATTCTGTTAGCAAATCTAGAATGTAGCAACACTTTAGGCCAGCTTCACCCAGCTCCTGACCATGTGCTGGGCATATAGCAAATGCTCAACTCAGAAATGCCATGGGACCCTGGGAAGAACAGACGGAGGTACACACAGTCCAAGGAAGCTTGGTTAATCTACTGCAGATGGGGAGAGAGATTTGTAAGGGGGAGCTGCCTCCTTCCTCCTGCACTTTATTAAGGCTACTTTGAGTGTAAGGCATAAAAACCCATTTCAGACATACTGAAGCAAAAAGGGAAATGATAAGGTTATTGGGAAGCTCCTGACCCCGAGGACCAGGAAGGGGAGGAAGAGTTTAGAAGGAACAGGAACTCATACTCCATCCCCCTTCAAATGAGGAAAGACCTGATTGGCCCAGTGCGGGGGAGGGTATCTGCCCTGGTCCAATCATTAGTAGCCAGAGGGGTAACACTGGCCAGGAGGTATGGGCAGCCAACAGAAGTAGTTTCTGGGCCACTCTCAGAAGAGAATGGTGGTGTGAGCTGGCCGGCCGCCTGCCCCCAAGTCATCTTTTCCATTTGGAACAAGGAAGACATTGAGAGGTCCCAAGGCTAGCTCAATCCATAGGATAAAGCCTTACCCTCCACACTACCCACAGGGCATGAATTGTAGTTGGTGAGAGGGTGCTCACGAGGATGACCTGAACTCACAGATGACAAAACATAAACTGTCTGTGCCATTCTGTTTCTGCTTGGGAAATCCTCCCCATCCTTCTGGCTCCAGCATCACTCTTTCCACGATGTCTTTGTCTGTCTCCCTATTCTGTACCCATAGCCAATTAACAATGCTATCATTACAATAAGGATAATAGCAGGTAACCTTGGTTGAGTGCATGCATGTGTAACAGGATCTGAGCTCATCCTCACAGAAGCCCACGAGGTAAATTCTGTCATAACCTCGTTTTATATGTGAGGGAACTGGCACAGAGAGAGTAATTAACTTGCTCAAGGCTACACAGTTAATAGCTAGAGAAACCGGGATTTGAATCAAGTTTATGCACTGCCAAGATTTTTGATCCTGTCTGCATTGTGCCTGGTACTCTACAAGACTTTTCTGCTGCCTGGCACTGGAGAGTAAGTGTGGAAATGACAGTCCCAGGGAAGGCGATGTCTCATCTGCTGGAGAAGGTGTCAGGGAGTTACATAGACCATGTGACAGGTAAAACAGAGCCACCCTGATATATTCCATTTGGAATGCAGCCACCCTTGAAATATGCCAGGAGTACAGGAAATGGTACTTACCTACTTGCATTTCAAGCCCAAAGCATTGTGAGAGATCAGGTTAAATAGCCAATGATGACTGGTCTTGCCACTGTGCTGTTTAAATAG